GGTTCTAGACAGGAAATTATCACTTGAGGACCACATAAAGAACATTGTGCAAGGAGCCTATGCTACACTTTCTAACTTCAGAATTGCTTTTAAATACATGGATGGCAAAATACTAAAGAAATTGTTCACATTTTTAGTTAGACCAAAGCTGGAATATGCAGCAGTTGTATGGTGCCAATATCTTAAAAGCACATCAACAAACTGGAAAAGGTGCAAAGACATGCTACTAAATGGCTCCCAGAACTGAAGGATAAGAGCTACGAGAAGAGATTAGAGACATTAAATATGCCAAAACTAGAAGATAGAAGAAAGAGAGAGGCAATATGATCACTACGTACTGTTGTGACGGGAATTGATAAACTTGATAGAGAAAAATTCCTGAGACTGGAACTTCAAGAACATGAGGTAATAGATTTAATCTAACTAAACAAAGCTGCTGAAGAAATATAAGAAAATTCACTTTCATAAACAAAGTGGTAGATGGTCGGAGCAAGTTAGGTGAGAAGGTGGTGGAGGCCAAAACCATCAGTAATTTCAAAGCATTATATGACAGTGCTTGGAAGATGGGGACACCCATAAGCATAGTTCTCATCCTGTAACTACACTTAGGTAATTACACACTAATCATATCTCTAGGCCCTGTGGCCACCCAATGATAGCAAGCTCCCCAAAAGAAGTAAGGCCCCAGGCCTGTGTAGACACAAGTGAATGTGCTTTAGCGCTTTGGTTCTGGACGTCACTGAACCTGTAGCAATTGTTGAAGAACAGAAAACACTCCCTTCCAGACACCTAAAGAACGAGACCTAAGGGTGGTTTTGGATAGCAAGTTGTCACCAGAGAAACACCTAAAGAACATTGCGAGAGGAGCGTATGCATCGCTTTCCAACTTCAGACTTGCTTTTAATTATATGGATGGTAAAATACTAAAGAAACTGTTCATGACATTTGTTCATAACCAAAATTTTAACACTTTCGCGCTATCTGGACGCGCCGGCGCGTCCGGTTTCGTCTAACGTAAACGCATAGTGGACATAAAGTTATGTCTTCTTTTAAAATATTTGTATAAAATTCAATTTTAATCCGATTTCATTGGGGTTTGTTTCAAACGACACGCCATGAAGTTCTCTTTCTCACCACTAGGCCGCCTGGCGCGTCGGCCTACCCGGTCACATGACGGGCCCATTGTTTTCGTGTCACGTGTCGTGAGTCGATCACGCTCCCCTCGCGCGCCAAACTCGAGCATTTTTACCCGTTTCCGTGTGGATTATACCCAATTACTTCATCAAAAATGGATCAAGGTCAAGGCCCAAGCACTTCTACGCCCAAGGAAGCCTCCAGGTCATCGAGAGTGGACAAAATAACCCAAATTTTTAAGAAGTGGAGCGGAGTGAAGCTCACACCAACGAAAATTCCAGGCCTTGTGGAGGATTTATCAGAAGCTGAAGGTGATGTAGAGGTATTGGAGGAAGATTTTGGAACCCACAACGATTATAGTGTACCTAGAGCTAGAGGGAATGATACGGCAACGAGTGATGAGGAGACTGAGGCCCTCACCGAGGAAGAGGAGGCATCGCGACCCCCTCCTCCTCCTCCTCCATCTCGGCGCACACGTGGTGCATCTAGGCTACCTAGAAAAGTAGCTACCAGACATGTTACTCGTCGTAGGAACACACGACAAATTGTGCCAAGTGATTCTGAAAGTATAAGTGATGAGGAAAGTGATGAGGATTCATTCGAGCCTGCTGAAAGGCGTACACGTACAGTACGTACTCGGCAGGCTAGGGCTGGTGAGGGCTGGAGTTGTAGCAATACTTCTCCAGTTGTTGATGATTTTACTGGAAATCCTGGACTGAAAATTCCCAAGCCTACTAGTGCACTGGCTTATATTCAATTGTTCATCACTCGTGCCCTCCTTGAGTTCTTTACCGTTGAAACAAATTTGTACGCCTCGCAGTTATTCCGGATGGCCAATGAAAATGTATCAGATATTTGGACCCCAGTGAAGGCGAGTGAAATGGCGCGATTCCTAGGACTGTTCATATTGATGGGCATAATTAGGCTCCCAACTATGAGGATGTATTGGCAAACAGCAAAGCCATGGCATGCTCGTTTCTTCAGCTTGTTCATGCCGTCCAGACGATTCCAGCATATAAACCAGTTTTTCCACACATTCAATACCAATGCAGTGCCCGTGAACAATCGTGATAAGTTGATAAAAGTGAGACCAGTGATGGATTACTTGAAAGAGAGGTTTGCTCAAGTTTACATCCCCAAGAAAGAGTTGTGTTTGGATGAGGGTACAATGGCATGGCGAGGCCGACTATCCTTCAAAGTGTACAATCCAAACAAACCAGACAAGTATGGTGTGAAACTTTATATGCTTGCTGAATCTGTCTCTGGGTACATATATGACTTTGACGTATACTCAGGTATTGGTAAGACGATAGTGGATACAGTAACGGGGTTGATGCAGCCTTTAGTGAACCAGGGTTACCATTTGTACATGGATAATTACTACAACTCGGTTACCCTGACAGAAACATTGAGAGAACTTGGGGTGTACACATGTGGCACAATTAGAATGCTACGTGGCGCCCCAAAGGTATTGCAAGCTCTAGCCAAGGGTAAACTTCCACTGGATACCACAGTATACCGACGCAAAGATAATACCTTCATTCTCCTGTGGAAAGACAAGCGAGTGGTTTCAATCATTACCAACATCCACAATGCAGACACTCAGCGAGTTCAGCGAAGGAAGCGAATTCGCAACCGAGACGGAACAAGTGGAATACAACAGGTAACAGTGAACAAACCGATTGCAATTTGCAAGTACAATAAGTTCATGAAAGGTGTGGACCACTTCGATCAAATAGTTAAATATTACCATTTTACCAGGAAAACTCACAAGTGGACCAAAAAGATTACCTTTTATTTCCTGCAAATGGCATTGCATAATGCCTATGTTTTGTACAAATACAACTGATCGAAAAAAGCTAACATTGCTACAGTTCCACGAAGTGGCAATCTGGGCCCTATTGCACTGGGACACAGAGGAGTGGCCTAAAACAACATCATCATCTCAACACTTGCGGCACGCTCCAGACATAAATGATGACACAGCTCCTGCCAATGCTGACGCCATGCCAACTCCCGGACCATCTGGTGTGAGGCGGCCTTTGTTCACTACACCACCTCAAGATGAAGCAGACAACGAATCTGAACCCGACATGTCTGCCACACTGCCAGTTGACAAAACTGTTTTGTCAGATGAATCTGACTCTCCTGCAACTCCTGTTACACCTCCAGCGAGAGGACCTGGCCGCCCTATTGTTGATTCAGAAAATCGCATGAACTACAAACTGAAACATGAAATTTACAGACTGCCCAAACGTCTCAAGTGTCATGCATGCGCACGGTCCGGTAAAAGGAAGGACACGAACTATGGATGCAAGACCTGTGGTGTTGCACTCTGTGTTGTTCCCTGCTACACCAATTACCACCGGAAACAGGTGTATTGGGTGGTGAAGAAGTAACCACCCGCAACAGCTTCACTCCACCTACAAACCATCTGTTGAGCAACTTCAGGAATGAAGAACCTGAAGAAGGTGGAGTGAAGAACAAATGCTCAACTTACTGTTCCACAACCAGCCTTCCCTTGGTAAGTACACCTATTTGGTCCAAGTTTGTGTAGTATAATTTAGCTCATAGAACATTCTATTGCAAAAACATTGCCACAAAAATGAATGACATACATACAATAATAATATCAGAACAGTGAAATAAGTATAAACTTTCAAAGCAACGTTTCGCGCGTGTGTCGTCCGGTCACCGTTACCGGGTAACAGTGCGCCCACTTCCCACACTCTTGCGGGTGGGCCGGGACCATTATTCTACGATTATATTCATATCACCGTGTTGGGAATTTTATTGGGAGTCCATTGATACCAAAATTAAGGCTGTAGGACAATTGTAGAGGTGATAATAATCCCAAGAGTAAAAACATTTTGTTGCTGTTGAGCGCTCACGGCGACTCATCTTCGTAGTTATTTCATGCTGGTATCTATAGCTTTCGTGACTTTTTTTACTGATGTTCTTCTAGAGAATTTTATTGCGAACACGTTGGTACCAAAATGAAATACGTAGCATGAAAACTAAGGTCAGAAAAGTAAAAAGAGTATACACATTTTTGTTTTTACGCTTAAGCGATAAAAACGCCGCGCGCACATACGGTTGGCTGAGTGACCTTCGCCGAGAGCGCGAAAGTGTTAATATGCAGCATTTGTATGGTGCCCAAATCTCAAGACGCACATAAAGAAACTGGAAAAGGTGCAACGGCATGCTACAAAATGGCTTCCAGAACTGAAAATCAAGAGTTACGAGGAGAGACAGAGGCATTAAACATGCCAAAACGAGAAGATAGAAGAAAAAGAGGTGATATAATCACCACTTACAAAATACTGTACTAACAATAATTGACCAAATTGACAAAGAGGAATTCCTGAAACCAGCAACTACATGAACAAGAGGACAAAAAATCAAGTTAAGGAAACGGAGGTGCCAAAAAATATTAGAAAGTTTTCTTTTGCAAACAGAGTGGTAGACAGTTGGAACAAGCTAAATGAGGTGGTGGTCGAGGCCAAAACTATCAGTAGTCTCAAAGCGTTATACGACAAAGGGTACTCAGAAGACAGGACACCACGAGCTTAGCTTCTCATCCTGTAACTACACTTGGGTAATTAGTCCAGTGTGCCTGCCTTTAATACACAATAGTAATATAACATGGCAGAAAATGTGGGTACAGTACATATCTACATTTATCAAAATAGCTTTAGCATATTGGTGTTAATGAATATAAATTTTTTTACATAAAATTATGCTACAACTTACTGCCATACAAAATTTTGAAAAAAATTTGACCAATAATTATCGATACCTAGTAAACTCCTGCACTATATGTGAATTGGTAAATTAAAATATTGTATTAACAGAGCCTACAATACCTTTCGACTTTTTATTGAGGCTTTGACGAAATTGGCTGATTGAGTCTGCTGCATTGGTGAAATTTGACAGGATCTTCTGTAAAGTTTTCCTGTTTGTTAAACATTTCTGCTGAAAAATCTCCAATTCTGAATCAAAGTCGGTTATTTCAGCCACTGGCGCTGTCATTTTGCAAAGATGCCTTGTTCCTCGGAATCCTAGAAAATACAAAATTAAAACTAATTTCAATCCCATCATACTGTTTATATACAATTTAGATACACAAGTACTGTAGTATGCTCTTTAAAACATTTTTATTACATGTCTAGCAAGAAACATGTTTTACTGCTCATTCCTACTTTTTTTTTTTTTTTTTTTGCATTGCCAGCTGATAAGAGATCTTGGTGCTTGGTAGTGTGACAATGGTGGCTTGTAGTGTGAAAGTGTTCATGACAGTTCCTGATTCATCAAGTGTTCTGACAGTTCATGATTCAGACAATGAAATACAAATGCAGATGATGAGTCAGAATAAGTGGCTGAAGATATGGTGACCAAACCACACATCACAAGACAGAAAAACGACGACATTTCACATGACTTGATAATCAGCATTCTGCCCAAAACACTGTGCATACAAGTGGCTTTACAAGACTGTAAACACAAACACAATACTCTCTCAAATCCAAGGGACCTTCTTGTAAATATTATATATAAATAAAATAAAATGAAATAAAATAAAATAAAATAAAATAAATAATGGCCCAGGACAGACCGAAACGTCGTCGTTTCTCCATCTTCTGATGTATTTTATTGATGACCACACCACACAAGTCAAACTGTTTATCAATGTGTGATAGTGTTTAAAAATACTCAAATACAGTAAAATAATGCACTAATACTATCAAATTCATAAAAATCAATCGGCGAATGAAATGAAATGCTCTTTTCTGAAGGCCTTCTTAGTACCACAACTGAGCTTAAGTGCTAGTGTAGCCAAGCTTTAGAAAATCACAAGAGATCTTTGAAGGGAGGGAAGCCCGAGGATCAAGAGATTCTTTTCAAAACCACCCAGAAGGGCAATAAAACAAGTGACTGCTTGACATAGCTCTCGACCTGCTAGAACAGGGCTTCACAACCCCTACAGAAGGGAACAAGATGGAAATTGGTAGCTACTAAGAGGTCTATCAGAACAGGGGAGCCGAATCACCTTGGAACATGGATCAAGAGATAAAGTGTTAACAAACAAGGCCTCAACCTGAACAGCCCATCCAGCATACAAATGAAGTCACACGACAGTATGATGCACCCTCATCCACACACACTAAACAGTAATAGTGGGGAGGAGAATAAAGTTAACAAACAGCAGGGACTCCTGCAGACTATAAACTGGCCAGCTAGCAGACGGGTGAAAAGGTATAGAAGTTCGTCAGTGCACTCCACAGGAGTGGAGCAAACAGCTTGGGAACAGCATCCACAACTGCAGCAGCAGACTAGCTAGAGGACAAGGAATCCCCAGACCAGGAAACTGAGATCAACTTACAACTGCTCCGAGAAGACCTGCACTGCCATGAACTGAGAATCTCTGCCAAATGTGTGTAACTTTTGTGGTATAACACAATGAATGCCAAAGTCAACTTGCGCACCTTGATGTGGAGCTGCCAAGCCCGGATATAGTGAGGAAGTACACAAGTCAAAAAAGCTGTCATTTGTCCAAAGGAAACAATGGTTTGTTCCCAGTCGGGATAAAGTCACAGCCTCACAGCGCAGCAATAGAAACTGTACCTACACTCAAATAGGTTTGGGTCCACTTCAAATGTACAATTCTGGTTTCTGGTTTTGATCACAACAGGATCCAAAACCAATCCTGGCAAGCCACACTTGAGAGGAAGATGCAACAAAAACATTTCTAAGAGCTGAATGAACAAAAGATGGACAAGGTCTGTAAAAGCCTGTTCCACAGGAACAAGGGATAATGACTACTTGGACCAGTCGCAAACTGACAGACATGCCAGGTGCAAGGACAACATCTTGGCAATTCGCACATCTTAACCTGACCACGAACATCCAGTGAGGGAATGTGTATGTGGTCACAGATAACAATCAAGTTAATGCAACTTAATCACACTGTCAGGTATATCTTGAGGTTATCTCGAGATGATTTCGGGGCTTTTTTAGTGTCCCCGCGGCCCGGTCCTCGACCAGGCCTCCACCCCCAGGAAGCAGCCTGTGACAGCTGACTAACACAATTTGGTAAAGAACAAATTCTAAAAATCAGACAGGAAACAGCACTAAGTGCGCTAGTAACAAAGCGCAGAGCTATGTCAACTGCCTACCAATAGAACTTTCAGCAGACATCAAATCTAATGTACTACCTGGGAGCGAGTTAACTTAAAGAGGAGCCAACCTGAAGAGGAGGAACCTGAACCCCTCACAATAGGAATCTCTAATGGAGTCAGGGGCACACAAGCAGACCACCATCAAAGGTAACCCTAGCACACAACCAGAGCAAAATAAAAGGCAAGGAATATGCAATATGGGCAGCCCAAAATACAAATGTGAAGCACAAAGGAAAAAAGAAAAACAATGACTCCCATAGAAGAACAAAAATATAAAAAAAACCACATATATATTGCATCCAAATCACTCCATGAAAGACAGCAATATAAAAAAGTTTGATGTAAGCATGTCGAAAGACCTTATTATTTAAGAACACAATAAAGTAGCTATCTCAACTACAAGAAAAATGACAGGTTAGATACCAAGAACATTTCAAACGGGAGATGCCAAACCAATGATGATACTTTTTAAGACACTAGTGCTCTATAGGGTGGAGTATTATTGCACTCTAACAACCCCATTCAATGCTGAAGAAATTGCTAACCTGGAGAACATGCAAAGGTCTCTTACTGCCCAAATCCACTCGGTAATACAGTACATCCAACTTATTGGGACTACCAGTATTTAAAAATTTTAAATCGGTTCTAGAGTGCAAACGAGAAATGTATATAATAATTTTGACTAGGAAAATATTAGAGAGATTGGTTCCAAATCTGCACAGGGAAATGATTCCACAGGAGACCAGAGGGCATAGCAGGAAGAGCAAAATAGCACTGTTAAAAAGCAGAGGTGCAATATGTACACAGAGATAACTATCAACTTCAAGGGCCCAAGATTTTTCAACACTCTCCCTCTACATATAAGGGGCATAATTAACTGACCTCTGATAGTGTTCAAGAGAAAATTTAATGAATGCCTCCAGAGCATAACCAATAAAAAAAACCAGTGTTGAAGTAATGAAACGCCATTTTCTGGGCGAGACCTGGAAGCTCCCCGGAGTTATCCAGCTGATATGGATTTTCCCTCTTTTATCATTGTCTTTGGGTAGTTAGCTCCGGGGAGCCGAAGGGGGGGGGGCTCCTAGAAAACCAGCGTTGAATGTAATGAAACATCATATTCTGGGCGAGACCCGGAGGCTCCCCGGCACCCCTCCCTCCCTCCCTCCGGTCAGCAGTTCTTTTTGTATGTTTTTGACATCCAGCCTAAGAACTGACAGGCTCGGGTAGCCGGCGGGGGGTCTGGGGCTTTTCCTTCCACCTCCAGGGGAGGACAGGGGGGGGGCACAGACGTCGGCACGTTGGTATTGAGACGACGTCATGCTCGTTTGATCATTTTTCTCCGTGGAGATTTCTAGCCTCTCGTTCGGCATTGGGTAGCATTTCTTCGCCAGAATGGGGGGGAGGGCATCGGGGCGCCTATCTTTCTGGATGCCCGACCCGGTCGATGGCAGATATAGAGTACTTCTAAATCGTATATAAGGTGTGTCTATAGGCCATAGCTCCTCGCATTTCTCTGAGGGGGATCAGGTTCTGGCTCGTGGTCCCCGGTACGCCTAGAACTCCATGTACATTGACTCATGCCCAAAGCTTATACTGTACATCCGTATCAGCCGGATAGCTCTGGGGAGCCGAAGGGGCTCCCCCCAGAAAGGTTGTGATTCATTGTCAGGCTGCAAGTAGCTGCATCCAATAGCCTGGTTGACAAGACCACCAACCAGGAGGCACAGGAACATTGATTCCTGGAACCAACAACAGGTAGACATACCCAACACCACTTAGCCTAAACTGTGAAGCAACGGGAAGATTCAGCAGAGTTGTATAACAAAGACAGGCACCAGGTGAGATGGGCAGCAGGCTGGAACAACAGGTGACCTGGGACATCCTCTGGAGGTTAAACACATCACAGTTAGGGTAATTACCCCCATGGAAACAACTGTCTTATTTCAACCAGACACTTGGTTTGTCGTGCCTATCAATTCTGGAGGATTTTTCTTTGTTTTGGGTAGAATCTGAGAATCCCAGGGTTCCCCTCACCACATCACAAGAGCCAGATTCTGGTTCTGGTTCCTGTAGGTCAGGGTGGTTCTCAGCGATAATAAGGCATTCACAATTAGCAGCAATCACCCTGAAGGTGCTAATGACCTGGGATATCACATGATGACTGCAGGTAAGATTGTTCAGGACATTATTGGTAACATGACAGGAAGGTAAACTGGATGACAAGGATGACACTACACCAAAAACTACATAATACAAATCCCTTATGGCAAACAATAATCATGTGATTAAATATGCTTCAAACTAACGATCCTGATGTTGGAAGTTTATATCCATATTATAAATGGAACAAAAAGCCTTTTTGTTTTTACCAAGGTCAATGAAAAAATGAAACAGGCTTAAATAGATACAAATTTGATGATATCTGAAATCCAAGGATTCTCAGACAGTGAAGCTTTAACACACAGCAGTCAAAGCTGAATTTGTTTAGTTATTGTACAGTAATTTTAGTTAACATTAAATTAATCTAATTAGATTAAATTTAAGTTAGGCTGCTAATTGGCACATTTCATACTTATTATGTCAAATACATACAGTATTAAAGTTCTTCAGTTCTAATGTGTACAGTACAATGTTACTGTACTAAAAAGTACAGTACTGTATTGCTCCAATCCGAGTGTGATCAAGACAATTTTAAACTAAACTATGATTAGTTATCATTTCTTCTAGTTCAGGTTTTAATTTTTTGGATGCTACCTACCATAATGTATTGTCTGTTACTGTATTAATGAAAGTGGAACTATGAACTATATTGGTTGCGATAAAACAATAAATATTAGTTTACGTAATGTATCATGAGAACTTCGGTACACTCAGATTTAACTTAACTCAGTTGGGGTCAGCCCCATATGAACCTACTTAGTAAGAAATCTGTGAATCTCAAAATCAATTGAAAAGGCAATCAAAACATGTCAAACACAATGCCATCTCACATATTAATATCAGACCTCACCAGTCAGTAGTTTCCAAGAACGTGGGTGGGTTCCCAAGAACGTCACTGAACGTGGGTGTCTTGTTTTGGTATCTGGACTCGAGGGATGCCTCCCACAGTAGCAACTTGTAGCTTACTCCCAAGGGCATCTTGGCAAAGGAAGATTACTTTACTAAATGAAGTGAAGGGGGGCTTACCTGTGGGAGATGGCAGGAGAGCAAGGCCCTGGGTAAAGTGGCATCAGCTGAGCACTAAACACCAATTCAACACAGGCACAGTGAGATCGTGGTACAGCCACCAGGTACTGTAGAGAGAAGCCGACACCCTGTTGAATCACGAAAAGCCTCAAAAAGAATACAGGTACCAGTATTAGCAATGGACATATTGTACAGTATTGGTAAAGAAAGCCATCAAGGAAGCAAATAAGCAACCATTATGGAAATTAGCAGCGAGTTATTTGGCTAAATTTAACCAACTTTCAGAAACCCAAGAGAAACTGGTCTTGTAACTAGGAACATGAGACACCCGAGTTGATAAAGCCTGTGACCCAATAGCGTTAATAGCATTTAAATAGCACTGAAAAGCAGCCACAGGACAGTACGATGCACCTTATCTTGAGGTTATCTTGAGATGATTTCGGGGCTTTAGTGTCCCCGCGGCCCGGTCCTCAACCAGGCCTCTACCCCAAAGAAGCACCCTAAACCCTAGACAAATCACCCTAGACAAATCAAAGGGATGATAGAAAGAATATCTGGCTCCAGAGCCTACTGTTAAGTTCCCAGAAAAGGCAGACCCTAAAACCACTTCAGCCAGCCCCTTATATGCCTACTTCATGTCTACTCCTCTGGGTTCTTAACCTGAAGGATGTTTAAGAGCTCAAACCAATGAGCTAGGCCAAGTAAACAAATGCTGGAAGCAGCAGCAGGTCAATAGTCACACAGAAGCAGAACTTTGCACCAGTGTTCAAGACAATACATTCATAAACCTCCCCATAAAAGAGGAGAGGATTGGCAGTACATCATTTACATCGGTCAAGGTAAAGGCAGTACATCATTTACACCGGACAAGGTCTGCAGCAGTCAATAACACAGGGCTCAACCATGCAGTGAGGATGTAGTCTAACAGGCCACCACAGGAGAGGGTGGCTCAGTCAACATTGAGATTCCACACCGACAGATTATACACACTTGGGGGTGAAATGACACATGTACCTATCAGAATGTGTGATGGATGCAGCATGAATGGCAGGCAAGAAGTATGTCAACAAATTTCACTTCGAACCCTGATCTCATTTGCCCAGTGAATAAGTTGCATGAAACTACAAACAAAAAAGAATTACTTACATGACCTCAGCACACCCAGGCAAAGCACCTGGCACCAAAAAGCACAGGAATCATTACCTGGAAACGAAATGACTCAAAAGGAGTCAATTCACAATGCATGAACCCAAACGCCTCAGAGCCGGCATCTCTGGTAGAGAGGGAAATGCAAGCCAGCTACTAGTAAAGTAACCCTTGTATGCAGCTGGAGCAAAATAGTAGAGGGAGAAGACACAATATGGGTGGAACTAAACACAATTGTTAAATAGAAATGGAACAAAATGCAATAGCCCCTTATGAACTAAGCCCCTTATGAACGGGTGCCGGTCGGCCGAGCGGACAGCACACTAGACTTGTGATCCTGTGGTCCTGGGTTCGATCCCAGGCGCCGGCGAGAAACATTGAGCAGAGTTTCTTTCACCCTATGCCCCTGTTACCTAGCAGTAAAATAGGTACCTGGGTGTTAGTCAGCTGTCACGGGCTGCTTCCTGTGGGTGGAGGCCTGGTCGAGGACCGGGCCGCGGGGACACTAAAGCCCCGAAATCATCTCAAGATAACCTCAAGATAACTACAGTACTATTCCAGGGATAACTAATGTCACTTAGTTGAAAGAAGAGCAGCACTGAGGATATAACAGATATTTGAACCTTTGACTAGTATCATGCAAGTGAGTGAGGTAGAGGGTTGGTCAAGACCCCAAGTGACCTGGGCCCCCCATTTGGTGGCAGTCTAGTAATTACCTAAGTGTGTAATTACCTAAATGTAGTTACAGGATAAGAGCTACGCTCGTGGTGTCCCATCTTCCCAGCACTCTTTGTCGTATAACGCTTTCAAACTACTGACGGTTTTGACCTCCACCACCTTCTCACCTAACTTGTTCCAACCGTCTACCACTCTGTTTGCGAAAGTGAATTTTCTTATATTTCTTAGGCATCATAGATTTCTCATAATTTATAGGTTGTGTGGGGTCTTTGTTCTATTCCACATTCCATAACATGGCATTTATTCACAATTCCATTTGGCAAGTGGTGCTCCATACAGTTATTTTGTCCAAGTCTTCTTGAAGGGCATGACAATCATCTAAGTTTCATATCCTTCCTATTATCTTGGCATCATCAGCAAACATATTTATATACTGTAATTCTGTATTCCATCTGGTAGATCATTTATATAGAATATGAACATCGCCGGTGCAAGAATTGAACCCTGTAGTACTCTACTTGTAACATTTCTCCAGTCCGATACATTGCCTTGCCTCTGATCTGCCCACCACCCTGATTTTTCTATCAGTCAGAAAAATTTTCACCCATGTTAGAAACTTACCTGTCACCCCTCCAATATTTTCCAGTTTCCAGAACAACCTCTTATGGGGAACTCTGTCGAAAGCCTTTTTTAGGTCCAGATAGATGCAGTCAACCCAACCATCTCTTTCCTGTAAAATCTCTGTGGGTCGATCGTAGAAACTGAGTAAATTCGATACACAGGATCTTCCAGATCAAAAACCATACTGTCTGTGATATTATATCATTTCTCTCCAGGTGTTCTACCCATTTAGTTTATTATTTTTTCCAATATTTTGACTATTACACTTGTCAATGATACAGGTCTATAATTGAGGGGATCTTCCCTGCTGCCACTTTTGTAGATTGGAACTATGTTAGCCTTTTTCCACACATCTGCTACGACTCCTGTACACATGGATGTCTGAAAAATCAGCTGAAGTGGAATGCTGACCTCGGGTGCACATTCTCTCAGAACCCATGGTGAAACTCCATCTAGGCCAACTGCTTTGTTCTTACTTAGATCCAGGAGCAATTGTTTCACTTTGTCTCTAGCGAGAGGTAAACAGGATGACACTACACCAAAAACTACATAATACAAATCCCTTATGACAAACAATAATCATTTCATTAAATATGCTTCAAATTAAAGATCCTGATGTTGGAAGTTTGTATCCATATTATAAATGAAGCAAGAGCGTTTTTATTTTTACCAAGGCCAATGAAAATATTAAACAGGCTTAGATACAAATGTGATCATATCTGAAATCCAAGGATTCTCAGACAGTGAAGTCTTAACACACAGCAGTCAAAGATGAATTTGTGAAGTTATTGTACAGTAATTTTAGTTAGATTAAATTAATCTACAGTACTTAGATTAATTAGTTTTTCTTTGTCTATGTGCTCTATGCTGTTCTCTGGAATTCTTATTGTGTCTGGTTCTCTGAAAATCTCATCTTGTACAAACACACCTTGGAACTTTTCATTTAATGTTTCACACATTAGGCTGAACACAAGGTATCATCTGGGAGGGGAAATCCTGCAACAGTCAAATAGAGAGAAAGACCTGGGGGTTGATATCACACCGAACCTGTCCCCAGAGGCCCACATCAAAAGAATATCATCAGCGGCATATGCTAGACTGGCCAACATAAGAACTGCCTTTAGAAACTTGTGTAAGGAATCTTTCAGAACCCTGTATACCACTTATGTAAGACCAATCCTGGAGTATGCAGCTCCAGCCTGGAGTCCATACCTAGTTAAACACAAGACAAAGAGGATTGAGCTACGAGGAAAGGCTAAAGGAACTGAACCTCACATCCCTGGAAAACAGAAGAGTAAGGAGAGACATGATAACCACCTACAAAATTCTCAGGGGAATTGACAGGGTGGACAAAGACAAACTCTTCAGCACGGGTGGGACACGAACAAGGGGACACAGGTGGAAACTTAGTACCCAGATGAGCCACAGAGACGTTAGAAAGAATTTTTTCAGTGTCAGAGTAGTTAATAAATGGAATGCACTAGGAAATGATGTGGTGGAGGCTGACTCCATACACAGTTTTAAATGTAGATATGATAGAGCCGAGTAGGCTCAGGAATCTGTACACCAGTTGATTGACAGTTGAGAGGCGGGACCAAAGAGCCAAAGCTCAACCCCCGCAAGCACAATTAGGCGAGTACAATTAGGTGAGTACATTTCCTTTTCATTTTTTGTGTATCTGTCCCCCATTTTCAACCTCTGAATATTATCCTTTACCTGCCGCTTGCTTTTAATGAATTTATAGAAAAGGCCCGGATCTGATTTACATCTGTCTGTCACACCATTCACAAAGTTCCTCTCTGCCTCTCTCCTTACTGATGTGTAGTTGTTTCTTGCATCTTTGTATCACTGGTATGTTTAGGGGTTTGGCCTCTTCCTATAATGATTCCATGCTTGTGTCTTTTGATCTCTGACCTCTTGCAATTTCTGTTGAACCAACCCTGTTTCCCAGGTCTGCATGTCTGTTTTAGTATGAATGATTGTGTGCCCTCATCGTATATTTCGCAAAATTTGGCATACATCTCACTTACTCCCTTGCCAAGCAACAAGTCTGTCCAATTATAACCATGAAAACAAAATTATAAAGTTCCCCATAGCGTCCTCTCTTGAAATCAAGTTTAACAACTGTTTCAATGTCCTCATTCTCTACTAGAATATATCGCATAGCATATTTAATGTCCATGAGGACGTGATCGCTCTTCCCCAAGGGAGGAGGGTACTGGATGTCAAATACCTCTTCTTTCCTGGCGAATACTAGATCCAGTACCGATGGAACATCCCCTTCCCTCATTCTTGTGGCCTGCTTGACGTGTTGATACATGAATGTCTCCAAGATGAGGTTTACAAATCTGCCTGTCCAAATGTCCTGTTCTTGCCTCGTAGGCCTCACAATCTATTGTCTTAAAGCTGAAGTCCCCCAGTACCAACAATCGGAATTTATCTTTGTCAACTCTTACCATAATCTCTATCTCATAACCATTATGAGGCCCTCTCATTTGTCATCCAGTTCTTCCTTTGTCCATGTGTTGCTTGCTGGTGGGCTGTAGGCATTGAAAATTATCAGCTTATCATCTTGATTACAAACCTGCTATGCCATTATGTCAATATCTCGAGGGTTTTCAATTATTAACTCTTACCTTCAGGTGTTCTTTCACCAGCATAGCCACACCTTCCCCTCTTCCTAGTTTTCCTGTCACGTCTCCAAACTGAGTAGCCCCTTGGCTACTCAGTTTGTTCACTTGGCTCGTGTATCATAAGTGTTGTTCACCTGTGGCAACAATCTTAAGACTTGCTTGCCTCAAAATTTCTTTCTTCAGGCAGTAGCTCCTTCCATTTCATCTATCTTTCTGGGGGAGTTTTTCTTAAGTTTTGGGTTGATAAGGTTGGGGGGAGGCCAGATTCTGGTCCTGGCTCCCAGTAGATTAACATAGGTTTCAAAGGTCTGGTGCAGAGGCAGTTCAATAGAGTTACAGAGGCAAACTCCCACAAAAAATTATTCACCAATAGGAAAATACTACAAAAGAGTACAGACACCTTGCTACCCCTGATACATATCCTACACAATGACAGCCCCTTTCAATGCTGGAGAAATTGCTGACCTAGAGAGCATGCAGAGATCCTTTACTGCTAGAATCCACTCAATAAAACATCTAAACTACTGGGACCGACTAAAGAGCCTAAATCTGTATTCCCTTGAACGCAAGCGGGAGAGATACCTAATAATTTATACGTGGAAAATATTAGAGGGGCTGGTTCCAAACCTGCATGCAGAAATAACATTACATGAGACCAGGAGGCATGGCAGGATGTGCAGAATACCCCCGTTGAAAAGAAGAGGTGCAATAGGTACTCTGAGAGAGAACTCTATCAACATCAGAGGCCCGAGACTGTTTAACACGCTGTTACGGACCCGAGTCCAGCGTCGGAGCATGGAGCAGTGACGATAACGCCATCTGTGAGTCCGCTCCCGAAACCCACTCCAAATAGACGATGCCATCTAGTGAGGACGGGGGATGCCGGCAATTAGTGCTGGATTCCTGTCCTAGTCAGCTCGTGACGTAGCCGCTGCTGACCTCTGGTGAGGTGGCGCCTAGACAGCAACGCCATCTATGGAGTGAAGAAGTGGACGTTTCTGTCTAAGCTTGTAAGTGAGGTTCCCTAGAGCGTCCCAGTATTAATGACGTATCTGATTGCAGAGTCGACCTGGGACTGCTGTGTTGGACGATGGACCAGTCTACCCAAGGCAGCCAAGGCCTCTTCACCAGTCTGCTTTGAAGAAGCTGTGAGTCACCCCCGGACGAACTCTGTTGAGAGTAATAGCCTGCCTGAAGCGTGGCAGTGTCGGGAATCGCCTTATCCGGGGTTGGCTGGTGGAAGAGACCACCCACTGGGGTGCTGTATGAGGAGAGTGACCAGCGAGTCACACGAGGTTCCTGGCTAGGGCTCGCAACCCTAAGTATCGGTCGTGGAGTGGCCTATACAGCGGAGCTGATCGGTACCTGCCAGCTACGGGCTGGATTGTGGTTGAAGGCCTCCACGACGAAGCACCCAGTGGGACTGTGATTTGGCTGGCCTGTGGCCAGGGTAGATTCGTCATAGTCATAGTGGATTCATCGTGGGCCACGGATGAAGGAACCAGGGCTACCCAGAGTGAGCCTCGTTGAGCATCCAGTGTCTTCGGAGGAAGACGCAACTGTACACAAGTGTAGTAATAATCCCCGCGTGCAACTGTTATTTATTTATATATGGTGGTAGTAAATATATCAGAAAAACTGGAACATTTGTATCCTTCCCCCTTTAATTCAACTTGCGTTACGGAACACATCCCTTGAAAGCCTCTACTAACTTGGGGCCGGATTCCCAAACTCTACCACCATCAGAGAAGAACCCGGTTGCGTCCCAGTAGGGCCGTAACACACGCTTCCACTACACATAAGGGGCATAACTGGCCAACCCCTCTCAGTATTCAAGAGAGAACTGGATAAGCACCTCCAAAAGATACCTGATCAACCAGACTGCGATTCATATGTCAGGCTGCGAGCAACCGCATCAAACAGCCTGGTTGACCAGTCCAGCAACAAGGAGGCCTGGTCAACGACCAAACCGCAGGGACGCTAAGCCCCGGAAACACTTCAAGGTAACTTCAAGGTAAGGTAATGTCAGATTTTGACATGTGTAGTTCCCAAGAAATGAGTCACCAGATACCAGGATACCTCACATCTGTCTATGACACCCCCTTGATGCTATTCTCCGGACACTCACAGATTCGAACTTCTAGGAACTAGGTACAATGTTATTCTAGGAGTGTCGCCTAATAGTATAGAAATGAGAGTGATAATATAGATCATAACACACATTATAATGGCAAAATTCCCTTACAAATTGGTAATATGTCTCACCATCTGGAAACTGACACCAGGGCATTCAGTCACTTAGATATACAATGAAACTACAAATAGCATAATTTTTGGTTAATGGGCATTACATGTACAGCATTCATTCCGGTACACTGTGAGCATGAAGCTATCTTAAAAATGTCTAACGACCTAGATAGTAACCAAAATATTTAGGTGGAAAACATTTTGGCCCTGTCCAAAAATATTGGTCATCTCACCAGTAGTGGTCAGCCAGGTAAATATATTTTCACCTGAACTTACTCGAGGGCCGCTATCTCTAATGGCCTCACTAGAAGGAAGCCGGTGCCTTGTCATAGGTCACCCAATATTCCTGTTCCTAGATTTTGAATTGAAGTAATGTCTTGATATATACATCTTTGGTGGGTAGGCAACTCTATGGTTTTAAAACTCTGGATGAAAAAGCATCTCCTGTTTTCTGCCCTACATTGCGACTTTTTTGTTTTATATTTAATTAAAAATGTATAATATTCATCCACGTCATAAGATCTGGTTCCTTGGTGTTGGGGTCATTGCCTGCATCTGATCACACTATAACATGCAGAGGAATTTTAATATACCGTACCTTTAAAAATACAGTATTCTACAGACAGCTCAGGAATATAGCCTAATATTTCTGGTAAATCAAAACTATTGAATAATAATGACAGCAAGATGCCTGTTTTCTGTGTTTAAGGTTGCCCACTAAATATTGTAAATCAGGTCCTGCCTTAATTTTTCATATGATAGGTTTGCCAGTTGTCTCTCCACTGAAACCACTTGCACCTTTGTGTAATCATTTTGTATACACAAGTAAATCTTCCTTTGGCTGTACACACACTCATTAACACTATATTACTTTACAACTCTCCAGTTCTCAATCTCAGTCTTCAGCAAAAGTATGTTCATACAATATCTGGTGAAAAGTCATCTCTATCACATATCATGCACTGTCTAACTGGTACAGTACACCACTAGTGCTCAGAATAAATCAATCCTTAACAGAATGAAAAACTATAAATCTAAGCCTACTAGCTGCAAGTTACTTGTTTTTACTCAAAATAAACTCAAACACTACAAGTATGTAAATTCCAATTATAAGCAGCAGAGTAGCTATAAAACATTCAATACCAGCTACTTCCTGTAGGGTGGAATGCAAACCAGACAATGGCAAAAACTTTGAGGTACATGCCCATAGGCCTCATTGAAACCTTACATTTGTAATAAATTAGTCAGCCCCTGTATCAATAACTTTTATCATTAAAAACCATTTACTAGGTTGCCCAAAATGTTTTGCATGCACCATGCAAGAAAGTACTGTAAATTTTCCTTTTACTAACAAAAGAAACATGTGCAACCTTAATCTAATGTGTTATGTTGGTGCTTAAATATTCCAATGGTCAATGCACTATACGACATTAGGCCTCGAGTGACAGCTCTTCAGACACGATATTGTGACTCATTACTAAGCCTAGGTTAATTAGATTAGGCACCTGATAAGGTGAAACCAACAGCCAAGCAACACTCAAACTACAGTACACTAATCAAACGTGTTTACACTGCACCACAGCATCCAAAAGTAGTATATATATAACAACTAAAACGTAGCTTAACTTCAGCTATTCATGTGACCAGGCTTCAAGTCCCAGTACTAGTAAAATGTCAGAAAAAAGCACTTAGCTTGGGGCCAAAAAGACTCATGACCCCAAACCATAAACCGCGTCTCCTTCCCTGCCGCCACAGTCTTACCCCGGCACCATAACGTGCTACTCTCGTCTATAAAAGCTCACACACACTTGTCAAGCACAATAAGGAAGTACCTGAGGCAGTGTATTCCTCTCCCCAGCGAATGCTTGCTTACACGAGAACTACATTCAACTTCAGCTGGGCTCAAATTTGTAAACAGATGGCAACCAATCAGCGTCGTCAGGGAGGTGCCGTTCGGTCGCACTAAAATCCGGATTCATGTTTAAATATATAAATATTCGTTAAAGATATTTTAAACTGTGAGGCCATTTTTGTAAACCTCATTTTTTGTGTGTGTGTGTGTTGGGTAATTGCGTGTGCGATTGTTTCTAAATGAGCGCATACATTTGTGTGTTTAAACAGCCATAATAGACGAAGCTAAACTCACACATACACCGTATTTTGTCACTAACCGCGCTCATTGCCAGTTTTTAATAATGCGCAATACTGTGATACAATTATGTGTATAATTAATTTATATAGGCATATTTTTTTTTGCAGGGATATTCCTGCGCGGGCCCCAAGCCTCTGGCTGGCCTTCTAAGTGTTGCTTGTTTCTGTTTTACTTGGGCGGAGTATGAGTATTTATTACTCGTATGGTCGCTTCAGTAAGATTTTGCCATATGTGTTTAACAACTTCTTCTGCTCTGTTGAATCTAAGTTGAAATCTTAATGGATTTGTAACTGTGCACTGTGTTAGATAATGTTCCAGTGGTCTATCGGCAGGTTAATATAGTAAGCACAGCATATAATTGTTACACTCTTAGGCCAAAATTCTTGTAGCTCCTATGTATACTGTCTATCATACCATTATCACACATCCAAACAATTTTATGTGGTATACTACTTATTTCCTTATTTCTATAGTTATCAATAAGTTGACACTAATACATAATGTTCTAAGGTGTGGGCGTGCGGCATGCGCATATTACATAATTTACACTCCTATATCTTTTTCACTGACATCAACACCGTATTGCCAGATATATTTGTATCCTAATCTTAATTTCATATAAATTGAATCCTTCCACGTAGACTTTCCTCTACCATAGGTGAGATGAAGAACGAGTTTGTATTTATTACTGAATAATTCTTAAGTGTGTTACTACTGTCCACCATTGCCATTCTCTTTATCATTTCTTCACCGTCTTGAATCATCTTCATTCTTGTTTTTATTTGTTTCAAGGTTATCTGACATACAACATCAACAAGAGTTTTTTCCGTGGCTCTCTTCGCTATGTCATCAACTACCTCATTCAACAGTATTCCCACATGTGAAGGAATCCACATGAATCTTACTTTATACCCAGTTTGTTCTAATTTCTTAACATTCTCTCCACACTCTATCACAATATTTCTGATCACGGAGGAAAAAGACACCAACAGCATGGGGGGCCTATTTATTTATTAGTAGAACAAGTAAATATTTTCTGCAGACCATGTTAATGAAGCGGCTATAACTTGTATATTTTACAACTGCGTAACATGTACATGTATAACTTTGAGTACATTACAACTACTTAATAACATTAATACATATATGCTTATAGCCGTGAACTAAATAAATCAAGATCTGCAGAACACCGAATACTTATTATCTATAAGTAAAAGTAAGGCAAGTGTCTAACATATTTTTTCTGGAGAACCAGGGCATTTAGAGTAGCATATATTGGCCTAACACGTGACAGATAATAATGACCCATTCCAATACATAATGTAAATTCGTAAATTAACCAGTAAATGCAGAATACACATAGAGGGCAATATGCACCCCCACTCCGCAAGGCCAGCAGGCCGGACCCCCCCCCCCCCCCGAAGGGAGAGTGCCCGCTGGCCGCGGCAGGGCTTCAGCATGGAAGAGTGATGACATCTTGCCTGACCAGTAATAGCGAGAATCCGTCTTGGATACAAATATCCATGGAGATTTGGAATGGAAACAACAGTTGATCAGCGAAGTTGCAGAATCTGTGGTGAGTGTGATGGACACCGCCTTGGCCACTATCTACGTGAATGTGAACACCTGAGAGACATTAGGAATATGTGTAGAATAATAAACCCCACTTTGTTTGAGTTAGGAAAACACTATTTGTCAAATATTGATACTGTTCTTAAAAGATTTCCCCATTTTGCACCCGCAAGATAACGTAAGCTTTTAAGGGTTGATAGATGTTAATCTTCTTGTTTGAGGAGCTGTTCACTTGAGACAGTTAAGCAAGTCCCAGCTGTGTCTGGGTACAAGTGACAGGATGAACAACCCAGCGGGTTTTCTTCTTATTTGGGAGTGTTGTGCATTCTGATATGGCGGTGTGTCCACTCACAGGATGAGTGGCGCTGCCCAATACTGTCACTATGGCGGTGTGTCCACTCACAGGATGAGTGGCGCTGCCCAATACTGTCACTATGGCGGTGTGTCCACTCGCAAGATGAGTGGCGCTGCCCAATAAACTCGCCCCTCGGGGCAAAATTAAAAAAAAAAATTAAAATCTTGCCTGACGTATGAGTGAAAAGCGTCACTCCACCGTCCAACCGCCATGATCGCCTCCGGTGCGTGCCCATCAAGTGACAATTGCGTGGCCCTGCCAATTCGGAATGAGTGGGGGGGGGCGTAGTCATTGGGCGGAAGTCCTAATGCTGCTAGGGCGACGCGGAGCGTCTGGGAGAAATCTTGCCTTTGCAAAGGGGCGCCGGAGACATTCTGAAATATGGGCCCCGGGGCCGTACCCCTAAGGACGAGGTATTTGGAAAGGGTACGGACCGGGCAGTGCTTGCTAGAGGGGTTCGCCCTCAAAGTCAACGTAGGCGTGCGACCCGCACTATGCTTATAAGAACCTAGGAGTATTTCTAGACCTGTCCTTGTAAATGTTAACTGTTCCAGCCGGAGCGTGTGTCGATCTTTCGCCGCGTAGACCACCTCAACCGGGCGCAGGCATGCGTGGAAAGCCAGGGAAAAAAGTGTCCTGAAGCAGGTCTTCTCGTGTTCCGTATTACATACTCGTCCCAATGCCCGCTGGAGGCGATGTAGAAGGTGCCTCGTCACGGGAAGACGCCGTACCGGGGGGCCGTCGAGCGGAATTGCGCGCCCCTTTGAGCAGTTGGGTGACCAGGAACTCACGTGTGGGGTCCTTCCGACCGTGTAGCTTGAAGACGAAGGCAATGGCCGCTAGGTAAGTACTCAGCGAGCAGAACGCCAAACCTCGTGAGAGTAACGACTGTAGGAAGTTAGCCAGTATCGAGGGGGGTGCATGAAAAGGGCGTTCCCCCCCGTCGCCACCCCCCCCCCCCCGCGACGTACTCCACATACTCCTCCCACTTAGCCTGGTAGGCACAACGGGTCGCAGGTTGCAGAGAATTGAGCAGGGTCCTCAAAGTTGCAGGGCAGGTGTTGTGGAACGTCGGACGGCTTCTCGGCGAGGCCCGCGTCCCTGAGGAACGTGGGTGGCAGCACCTGTAGGCGTGAAAGGGCATCACAGACAGTATTCAACTTGCCTGGGAGGTGGGAGGGGAGAAGTGTGATATTATGCGTCAGCAGGAGTACGGCCAGAGGCCTTACAAGTTGCATAAGAATTAACTTTAGAGCCTACTGGGCTCTATCATATCTACACTTGAAGTTTTGTATGGAGTCAGCCTCCATAAAAAATAACTTTTTAACTTGCGAAGAGGTGCGTGTCGGGAGCAGGAGAGAACACATGACCGATTGATTGATTGATAAAGATTAAGCCACCCAAAAGGTGGCACGGGCATGAATAGCCCGTAAGTGGTGGCCCTTTTGAGCTATTACCAGTATCAAGAGCTGATACTGGAGATTGATTGATGAAGATTAAGCCACCCAAGAGGTGGCACGGGCATGAATAGCCCGTAAGTGGTGGCCCTTTTGAGCCATTACCAGTATCAAGAGCTGATACTGGAGATATGTGGAGGCGCGATTGCACCCTGCGTGACGGGAGATGTCTCCCGGACCAAATGGTGACCAGATGGTCTGATACTGGAGATCTGTGGAGGCGCGACTGCACCCTGCGTGACGGGAGATGTCTCCCGTGTGGACACATGACCTCTCCTCTCCCCTTTATATAGGCCCTCATTGCGCTGCGCACACTGCGCCTGCGGATCGCGCTGTGCAAATGTCTTTCCCCTCCATCAAAAAATCCTCCGCTTTCCTGTGTAATGCAGTGATCATTTCTGGTATACTGGGCGTCTGCTATTTAAAGACTCAACGCTCCTCTATTGTCAATAAAGAAGCAGGCATTTTTACCACATTTGACTACTTCCTGTAATCCTGTTAATACACCTTGGAGTTCAGCCTGCGTTGAAGAGACATTGTCAGTTAAGCGGCGTCCAATAACAGTATCTACAGTGCCGATGTCAGTGTACTCCCTGATCAAGACTCCACATCCTGCCTTCCCATCCCTAGCTACTGACCCATCACAATATACATGTAAAGTGTTTTCTGTAGGCAATTTTCTAATTATACAATCATATGTTGCCCTCAGCTCTCCTATTTCATACATACTTTTTTCTTTTGCAAGATAGTAATTACTACATCTACATTACAATTACAGTATGAGTATTTATGACTGTATGGTCGCTTCAGTAGGATTTTGTCCCATGTGTTTAATTTACTTAGAATCAAGGGACAATTTTAATCACAATGGGAGGTAGGAGAACACGGGGTATAACTTCTAAGACAATTATTAACATGTAAATAAGAATTAATGACTCAAAGGTAATTAAAGGGGAAATTAGCTAAACACCAAAATAATTAATAAAGACTTTATTCAACACGAAATTATATCCTAACTGCTAATGAATCCCACTGAGGCAATATGGTATATATACACTGACAATACATGAGAACTCCACCATTTGGTCACCACTTGGTCCGGGAGACATCTCCCGTCACGCAGGGTGCAGTTGCGCCTCCACAGATCTCCAGTATCATCTTTTGATACTGGTATTGGCTCGAAAGGGCCACCACTTACGGGCTATTCATGCCCGTGCCACCTCTTGGGTGGCTTAATCTTCATCAATCAATCAATGAGAACTCCACGGGAGACATCTCCCGTCACGCAGGGTGCAGTAGCACCTCCACAGATCTCCAGTATCAGCTCTTGATACTGGTAATGGCTCAAAAGGGCCACCACTTACGGGCTATTCATGCCCGTGCCACCTCTTGGGTGGCTTAATCTTCATCAATCAATCAATCATGAGAACTCACCATTTGGTCACCACTTGGTCCGGGAGACATCTCCCGTCACGCAGGGTGCAGTTGCGCCTCCACAGATCTCCAGTATCATCTTTTGATACTGGTAATGGCTCCAAAGGGCCACCACTTACCGGCTATTCATGCCCGTGCCACCTTTTGGGTGGCTTAATCTTCATCAATTAATCATGAGAACTCAAGGAGCACATTACCTTGTCCCTGCACTTACTGGCCACAGATGTTGACGTCTTCCCGAGGTCCCCTTGACCTGGGGAGTACCCAGGTCCCCTTCACCTGGGGAGTACAGTTATCATAGTAATGCGAAGGAGAGACTGGAGGAGAAGTGAAGCAGTAACTCAGGCTGTCACCTATATTATTGGCTCTAATAAATAAACTGTCGTAAGTAGGTCATTCTGTTCCAGCAAAATCAATAACATTTTATTAAAGGATAACGTTCTTACAGAGTGAGGTAAACAGCTCATTATTGGATACATGGTGATCTTATATTTTGGATTAGATTAAATATACATTAATATCGTGGATTACTCTATAAAAGCTGCAGCAACATAAGCCTCTATGTAGATGGTGTTGTAGATACATACCATCTATGTACCATCTATGTAGATGGTCTGTAGATAGTGCTGCCAGTGCGGTCTGCCGAACAGTTCACTAGGTGTTCAGCCCCTTCTCTTGATTTGCCACAACGTACACAATACAAAGTGCTAACCTAACCAGAAACGTACGAACCCCAGCAACCCACCAAACCTAATCTACTGATGCAGAGAAAACTACCCATAACCCCCCCCCCCAGGGGAGCTTACCACCAAAGTACTCGTCTGGTACTCGGTACTCGGTAAAGTACCCGCATGCGACGTCCCCAGTCACATGGTTACAGTAATCTAATACATATACCAGCCGAGTTTCTGAAGAGTAAAAAAAGGACAATAAAGATATATAGTTGGGTCATTTTCAGTAGATCTGTGACCGTCTAGAGCAACGGATCGTTTCTCAGTGGTGAAGTGCTGCGTGAATACAAAGTATTGTTGATCCACACTCTTCGCGCGAAAGTGTGGGGTAATTCCACAAATTCAAAATGGCCACCATTAGCCATTTTGGAAATTATCTTCTTTATTTGGTTTGGCAGGCTTGTTCGACCAGACCACACACTAGAAGGTGAAGGGACGACGACGTTTCGGTCCGTCCTGGACCATTCTCAAGTCGGTTATTTGGTTTGGCCTTAAAATGTTGCACAGTAGAAGGTTTTTAGCTTTTTGATGGGTCTAGGAATACATTTGTGATGTCGATTTGATGATTTTAGTTAATTTTAACTTTTAAATCGAAGATGGATGCCGATTTTTAATTCAGAACAGGAAATTCTTGGAAACTGTAGTAGAGCCTCCATACTAGACTCAAACGAAACGAACTAAATATGGAGATAACCTATCACGAAACTAATTTTGGATTTTAAATGTGAAGAAATAAAAAAATATGCTTCTGACAAGCTTCCGCATTTATAAATATAGTTTATTCTGGACGTAGTTGGACAAGAGACAAATATGGCACTAGGTGACACGACTAGTGGCATAGGTATCGTCGGAGTAATTGCTGACGATGACGTCTTTCCAGGAGCCGGGACTGACGGAGCCGAAGAGCGGAGAGGCCACCTCAGTGCAGCGACCCCGGCGGTGTCTGGTGAGCGCCAGGTCCTGGTAGTGGTGGAGGGAGGTGGAGGCGTGGACCAGGTGACACACCTCGCACAGGCTGCCCATCAGCACGGGCCGCAGGTACGCCCGCCACATGTGGTACCTGTATGGGAGGGTACCTTCTGTAGTCTGTGTCATCTAGCTCTTTATACAGTGCCATGTAGCGCCTGTAATGAGGGTGTGCATGCATACCTTTTACAGCGTGATCTGGTATCGTCTGTAATCTTAGCGTGTGTGCTATGGGACGTTATCTTGGGTTATCATCTACACTGATTAGCACGTGTGGTGAGAGTACTCGCTAGTGCGTGTGAAGTTGAACCACTACCAACAGTGCGTGCGTGCGTGTGTGTGTGTGTGTGTACTCACCTATATGTACTCACCTATATGTGCTTGCAGGATCGAGCATTGACTCTTGGATCCCGCCTTTCTAGCTATCGGTTGTTTACAGCAATGACTCCTGTCCCATTTCCCTATCATACCTAGTTTTAAAAGTATGAATAGTATTTGCTTCCACAACCTGTTCCCCAAGTGCATTCCATTTTTCTACTACTCTCACGCTAAAAGAAAACTTCCTAACATCTCTGTGACTCATCTGAGTTTCCAGTTTCCACCCATGTCCCCTCGTTCTGTTATTATTACGTGTGAACATTTCATCTATTTCCACTTTGTCAATTCCCCTGAGTATTTTATATGTCCCTATCATATCTCCTCTCTCCCTTCTTTTCTCTAGTGTCGTAAGGTTCAGTTCCTTCAGCCGCTCTTCATATCCCATCCCTCGTAGCTCTGGGACAAGCCTCGTCGCAAACCTCTGAACCTTCTCCAGTTTCTTTATGTGTTTCTTCAGGTGGGGGCTCCATGATGGCGCGGCATACTCTAAGACGGGTCTCACGTAGGCAGTGTAAAGCGCCCTAAAAGCTTCCTCATTTAGGTTTCTGAATGAAGTTCTAATTTTCGCCAGTGTAGAGTACGCTGCTGTCGTTATCCTATTTATATGTGCCTCAGGAGTTAGATTAGGTGTCACATCCACTCCCAGGTCTCTTTCTCGAATCGTTACAGGTAGGCTGTTCCCCTTCATTGTGTACTGTCCCTTTGGTCTCCTGTCACCTGATCCCATTTCCATAACTTTACATTTACTGGTGTTAAACTCCAGTAGCCATTTCCCTGACCATCTCTGCAGCCTGTTTAAGTCCTCTTGGAGGATCCTACAATCCTCGTCTGTCACAACTCTTCTCATTAATTTTGCGTCATCTGCAAACATTGACATGTATGATTCCACTCCTGTAAACATATCATTTACGTAAATTAGAAAGAGGATTGGTCCCAGCACCGATCCTTGAGGTACTCCACTTGTTACTGTTCGCCAGTCCGACTTTTCGCCCCTTACCATTACCCTCTGGCTCCTTCCTGTTAGGTAGTTCTTCACCCATACTAGGGCCTTTCCGCTTACTCCTGCCTGCCTCTCAAGTTTGTATAGCAGTCTCATGTGCGGTACCGTATCAAAGGCCTTTTGGCAGTCAAGAAATATGCAGTCTGCCCAGCCTTCTCTGTCCTGCCTTATCCTTGTTACTTTATCATAGAATTCTAAAAGGTTTGTTAGGCATGATTTCCCTGTCCAGAACCCATGTTGGTGCTTGTTTACAAACCCAATGCTCTCCAGGTGCTCAACAAGTCTTAGCCTAATTATTCTTTCAAGTATTTTGCAGGGGATGCTTGTCAGTGATACGGGTCTGTAGTTAAGTGCCTCCTCCCTATCACCCTTTTTGAAAATCGGTACGACATTTGCCTCCTTCCAGCAACTGGGCAATTCTCCCGACATAAGTGACTCATTAAAGATCATTGCCAGAGGCACGCTACGAGCCTGAGCTGCCTCTTTGAGTATCCACGGTGATACTTTGTCTGGTCCAACAGCTTTATTTGCATCCAGTGTTGTCAACTGTTTCATTACAGTGTGTGTGTGTGTGTGTGTGTGTGTGTGTGTGTGTGTGTGTGTGTGTGTGTGTGTGTGTGTGTGTGTGTGTGTGTGTGTGTGTGTAGGGGTATCTGTTGTTGCATCTTTAGAATAATATGGTACATTTTAGAATAATATTCTAGAAGATTTAGCACGCTTTATACAACTCTCTTTTTTTTTTAGAGAAGATTTTTTTTAATGCTGGCAAGAATATATGCTAGGTAATGGTCTGCTGTATTATCAGTTATTATAGCAGAAGTTTGTGCAGAGGTTATGTTAGTCCAAATGTGGTCAGTGGCAGATGCAGTCGTTTCCGCAATTCTGGTGGGTTTAGTTATCATGGGTGATAACATGCAAGAGTTCATACAGTTGAGGAAGCTAATAACAAGTTGGTTGTCAGACTGGCATAAGTCAATATTGAAGTCTCCAGTTAATATTAATTGATTTTTGTTAAGTGTGTTACCTAATATTAAGTTTCTAAGATTAGAGTTAAATCCAAATACATCAGTGTTTGGAGTTCTGTAAACTGTTACCAAAGTTTTATCCACGTTCAAGCCCTTCATTTCGAACTGGGAAAAATATATTCTCACGACTGTCTCTAGTTTTGGTAACTTTTGAGCACAATAGCTCCTTGTGGTAATAAATTGTTGTACTGCCACCTCACTGGTTAGGTTTACAGTTGTGGATAGTTGAATAATAATTGGCCGTATTTCATAACTGGGCTGTGTCACGATTGAACCAGGTCTCAGCAGGGATAACAACGAAGAATGAGCAGTTTAGTGGTAGCAAGAAGGCCCTAACATTATCATGGTGTTAGCTAAGAGTTCCAACATTAAAGTTAGAGACATGTTACGGTTATTTGATAATACATTATATGGTTCGAACGAACCATATATATATAATTAATATATATATATATATATATATATATATATATATATATATATATATATATATATATTTTGACAATCGACTTGAGAATGGTCCAGGACGGACCGAAACGTCGTCGTCCCTTCAACTTCTAGTGTGTGGTCTGGTCAACATACTTCAGCCACGTTATTGTGACTCATCGCCTGCATATATATATATATATATATATATATATATATATATATATATATATATATATATATATATATATATATATATATATATATATATATATATATATATATATATATATATATATATATATATATATATATATATATATATATATCTATATCTATATCTATATATATATCACTAAGAACTCTTTGACCCGGCCAGGATTCGAACCCATGCCGTCCAGGATCACCCTTAAACGTACACAGTACCGTGACCACCGCACCAATGATCGTCTATAAGGATTGGTCAGTCTTGGCGCTTATTAACTAAGCTCCCTGACTGACCAACCCCCGACGACACTCATGGATCCAAATGGATCCATGAGTGCACATGGTACACGTAACGTACACAGTACACATGGTACTGTGTACGTTTAGGGGTGATCCTGGACGGCATGGGTTGGAATCCTGGCCGGGTCAAAGAGTTCTTAGTGATATATGGCTTGCGCATTCATGCAGCTTTTCACATATATATATATATATATATATATATATATATATATATATATATATATATATACATATATATATATATATATATATATATATTATATATATGTATTGTCCTCCCTCCACGCCTATCAGTGATATAATTTATACAATTTGTATTTCTTTATTATCCATATATTCAATTCCTTTATATATTCAGACAATAGTTCACTCTTGTACTTCATACATGTTTCTGTTGGTGCAATAATATATATTATGTGGAGATAAATGTAACTGTCATTCTTTTTGTTTCTAATACTCCTACTACCTGTGTACTACACATTTAGTGTCTTTAGGTTTATGTCTGTGTTCGCGCCTTTGTATTGTTATTTTTTTTGCGAACATGTTACATTCACTAAATAACCTGGACTAAAAGAGACACTACAAGCACGAAAGTATTTTTGTTGCATAAGAATGTATTGCACTGCTTTGGAGATCTAAAACATCGCCCCCTAGGGCAAGTCTTTAATGTTTTTCCTGCCCGAAACGGTTTGCGTAATAGTGGCTTTAGGCATTGTATATACTAGCTCTATCTATAAATCTATCAATTTTTGTATAACCTCTTGTATGTCTGTACTTTACCTGAATAAACATTTATTTATTTATTAAGTGAGAGAGCAACAGAGATTGGCTGACTTTCTTGACACTCGGTGAACCATACGACTGACGAATGTTGGTCATCAGCGACGGCTGGAGGTGTGAAGGAGGAGGAGACGTGTCCAGGTGGGGTCAAGTATCAGCTCACCTGCCGTAGGCGACGGGATCCCGGTGGAGGCGAAGCAGGAGCTCAGCCAGCTCCCTGGGGTGGTAGTGGCGGGCGTCGATGAAGGAGTGAGGCGGCAAGTAGCGGCTGTAGTTTGCTCCTGCAAGAATACAGCAGCTTAGAAAGGAATTCAGACTGCAACATCCCTTTGAATAAAAAGTGAGGCTGATGTATGATGGAAGGCTTATAATGTAGTGTAATAAGACTTGATTATGACTATTACACGACTTAATAATGGTCCAGAACGGACCGAAACGTCGTCGTTTCTGTACTTTCTGATGTGTGGTTTGGTTATCATATAATAGTTTATTGAAACAGATAGTTCAGGGTAATGCCATGTATACGAGGACGTTTAAAACAACAATCTGAATCCATATTTACTTTAACTCTTGGCTCAGCTCCCTGGCACTTAATTAGGTACCAGGAGGTTGAGCAGGCGTAGAGGGTTGCATCCCTGGAAGGGACCTCGCTAAGCTTCAATGCAACTATACTGTCCCCCAACAACTGGAATTATATGTAGGTCAAATTGGAATCATGAGCACTGGGCCTCCACAGCCAGTCGGGTCTAAAACCTGTACCAACATGACCGTTATGACGTCATGGTGACGTCACACCTCGTCTACGCCAAATATAAAACACAATTTATTTTGTATACAGGTTTGGTTAGCTTAGGTTTGGTTAAGTTTGGTTAGATTAAGTGTGGTAACGTTAGGGCGTGTGAGGTCAGATCAGGCTAGGTTAGGTTAAGTTAGGATGCGCTCGGATAGGATAGGAAAGGAGACGGTAAGATAGGCTAGGTTGGGATGTGTTTAAAACAGGTCATCCTCCTAAAAATGAAAGTACTTATAGTAACTATTTGGTGGAAAGTAGCACTCACCGCCCCACACGACAGGCACCAGGTTGTAGACGAGTGGGTTGTAAAGCTTCTCCGTGATGTAGTCGTCGCAGACGGCGTTTTCCATGGCCAGGTAAAAGGAGTAATTAGGCTGGAGCACCCGTTCCCAGCACTCACCGCCCATGACGTGCCTCGGCCCGCACTTCAGATCTCCGCACCGACCGTACCTGATACACCAACCTAGGTTGCGTCAACCTGGCTCAGTGATGATCAACACTTCATATCAAGACAAGTCAACTCGTAGATAATTGGTCAGTGTTATTGGTGATTGTATTGAAGGTCTAGGTCCTTTCTCTCTTGACTGAAACGTCTATACCCTCTGGGAGATCATTTACATATATCAGAAACAGTATAGGTCCAAGGACTGACCCCTGCGGGACTCCGTTTGTAACGTCTCGCCAATCTGAGACCTCACCCCTCACATTGCCTCGTTGTCTCTAGGGTCAAACTAGGGTCAACTTGTAGTATATTTAAAGTCAGTGTGCACCAAGATACCTTCAAACACTCACCTATCAACAAAGTGTGAACCAGTGTATGATGTGTTAACATCTTACACTTACATGTTGAACAACACATCACTCACGTGTCCACTTGAAGGTAACGCTTGAGTTCTGTCACGTACTCCTCCCTCCTGGACCTGGTAGGACAGTGGCTGGACATCCAGGCCACCACGCGAGTCTTGTTGACGTAGGTGAGCCAGGAGGGCCCCAGCACCTCCTTCAAGGTAGCGTTCCTCGCCACAGCCTCCGTCAGCCGCCTCACAGCCTCCCCGTGCTCCGACATCAGGTTGGGTCGTAGAGGTCTGAAGAGGAAAACGAGATCTGGAAACCTGGTGGAATAGTTAGGAAAATATCCAGATGACAGTCTTACACACATAAGAAAGTGGATAACACCCCTTCTTTTTTAAGAAAATATTTATTATACTGTATAAAAATCCTCCTTTCAATTGGTTGTCTGCTGCATATATGTCAAAATTAAACTAAGATTAGGATAATATGAGAGAAATCATAGACTAATGTGACAGAAGAGGGGTCGATATGTGGTGATCTTGGAGGTTGGTAATCCGAGATGTTGCGGGATGTCGTTACACTGTATGATAACATCACACGTGTCACAGTAGTTAATAAATGGAATGCACTAGGAAGTGATGTGGTGAAGGCTGACTCCATACACAGTTTCAAATGTAGATATGATACAGCCCAGTAGGCTCAGGAGGTACACCAGTTGATTGACAGTTGAGAGGCGGGACCAAAGAGCCAGAGCTCAACCCCCGCAAGCACAACTAGGTGAGTTCACGTTCATGTTCCAGGTAAACATCATAAACAGCTGTTCCATTTAAACCTCACAGCTGATAGAGCCAACCGCAGCTGTCTCCACCCACAGTCTGCAGCGTCATATCTAAATGCTCAGCAATCTCGGTGGTTCACTGGTCATGATAATACATTCATCGAATTTTGCACAGGATCTCGGTTCTAACTAACAATAAATGCTCAATTTATTTATCGTCTAAAATGTGGCTAAGAGCACCGTGTGATGACTGATAAACTGATAATATTCAACATAAAACATCGTTAATTTTTTCCGGCACCACCTCGTTGCTATTACTCCATGTGACGTAATGTGCGTGAAATCGACACCAGTAATGCCATCTATCATCATACTATCATGCAAGAGGAGCCACACATTCGGGACACCACGAGCATAGCTCTCATCCTGTAACTACACTTAGGTAATTACACTTATATGGTTCATCCAATAAAATCAGCAGACTTCTAGGTGTTACTACTGCTCGGCTTAGACCCGGTTACAAGTATCTCTGGGAATTCTCATTATATGCCGATGTACACCTGACCAAATGTAAACTGTGTCAACAAAATAATTTGCACACCCTCCGTCACTATGTGATGGAGTGCGAAAAGATACGTGAATTCTGAGACAATTCTATAACCAATGTTCCAACGATGTGTAAATATTTAATTCAAAATGATCTGCTACCAGAAATTTTAGCCAAATATCCCCAGCTTTCTAACTGTAGGTAGTAACTAAGATATTGTAACCGATCCACCGCTGCCCACTGGATGGGGGCGGTGTGCAGGACAAACATATCAATTTTGACACTAGGCTCTCCACATATGTCAGTTGCTTCCTTTAGAAACTGTACTTGTGGTCGATCTCGAACCCATTTATGATGTGGCGACTTGTACTGAATTTTGTAACTAGCTCATCAAGATCGTAACTTGCTTAGCTAAATGAATTGTGGGGTTCAGTCCCTGAGCCCATTATGTGCCTCTGTAACCCTTTCCAGTACCGCCCACAAGATGAGTATGGGGTGCATAATAAATGAACTAAACTAAAACTAATAAAATGTTCCCAACAACAGCAAAGCACAGGTTGATATGTATGATGACGAGATGGGGGTTGAATTAGTTACATAATAGCAATCAGGTAGTTATTAATGACTCTTTTTAAACTGGTTGAGAGAATTGCAACTCTTAATCTCATATGGTCATTCCACAATTTAGGACCCTTATAATATATATTTTTTCCTTCCTGGGGTGTCCATGGGCTCTGTTCCAGACCTCAAGAAGGTGTTATTGGTTATTGTTCTAATTGCTGATTTACGTTGAGTATCGTGTAATTTTGAGTTGAAGTTTCCGAGGCGCAGGTTCCGTAGGTGAGATAAGGTTACATAAGGGAATAATATCGTTTACCTGCAGACAACACCGATACTCGCGCAGACAACACCAGACACATTTATTTATTTATTTATTTATTTATTTATGCATATACAAGAATGTACATAAGGAATGTGAGGATACAAATATGGTAATTACAGTCTTGTAAAGCCACTAGCACGCGCAGCGTTTCGGGCAGGTCCTTAATCTAAGAAAATTTTAAGGAGGTAAATACTTGCAAAATTTATAGACAAAAAAATGATAACAGATTACATGGAATGAAAAAAAAAGATGAGAGAAAATTATAGGTACAGTATATTAAAGCACATAGGTAGCTATGATTGATTGCAATGACAGCTTAAAATGGTAGTTGACAACAAATTGGTAGGCACAATACAGCAGAAACAATATAAGATTGATTGCAATGACAGCTTGAATGGTAGTTGATAAAAATTGGTAGTCACAATACAGCATATGGCTAGCACATAAAAGAAGACAGCAATGAACACAATGATAAGGTTGTTTGATATTACATAAAAATTAGGAGATTGGGTACCACTAGGTACAGAGCAAATTTAAAGCTCAGTGTAGGAAACTAAATAGATGAAGTTAGGTACTTTTTGGTACTTAAATAAGGCAAAAGTTTTACAGTTTTTCAATTCACTAGGGAGTGAGTTCCATAGACTAGGTCCCTTAATTTGCATAGAGTGTTTACACAGATTAAGTTTGACCCTGGGGATATCAAAGAGATATTTATTTCTGGTGTGGTGATAATGGGTCCTATTACATCTGTCCAGGGAGAGTTTCAGAGCATGGTTTGCATTAAAGAACAGGGTTTTGTAAATGTAGTTGACACAAGAGAATGTGTGGAGGGAGTTAATATTTAGCAAGTTTAGAGATTTAAACAAGGGAGCTGAGTGTTGTCTGAAAGCAGAGTTAGTTATTATTCTGATAGCAGATTTTTGCTGTGTGATGATGGGCTTAAGGTGGTTTGCAGTGGTAGACCCCCATGCACAGATACCATAATTAAGATAGGGGTAGATTAGTGCATAATATAGTGAGAGGAGAGCAGAGTTAGGAACATAATATCTGATTTTGGAGAGTATACCAACTGTCTTAGAGACTTTCTTAGTTATGTGTTGAATGTGGGTGCTGAAGTTGAGTCTCTTGTCTAGGAATAGGCCAAGAAACTTGCCATCATTTTTATTACTGATGTTAATGTTGTCTATCTGTAGCTGAATTGCATTTGATGATTTGCTTCCAAATAAGATGTAGTAAGTCTTTTCGATGTTTAATGTTAGTTTGTTCGTTGACATCCATAAGTGGACTTTTTTTAATTCATTATTCACAACATTATTTAGTGTATGTGGGTTGAGGTTTGAGTAGATAAGGGTAGTATCGTCAGCAAACAATATAGGTTTGAGAATATTAGAGACATTAGGCAGATCGTTTATATATATAAGAAATAGAAGAGGTCCTAAGATGCTGCCCTGTGGCACTCCAACGGTAATTGGTAGAGTGGAAGAAGTTGTATCATTGATGGTTACATATTGGTGTCTGTCACTAAGATAGGATCGGATGTAGTCAAGGGCAAGGCCTCGGATTCCATAATGCTGGAGTTTAAGTAAGAGGTAGTTGTGATTAACAGTATCAAAGGCTTTTCTTAGGTCAATGAAGAGTCCAATCGGAAACTCATTTTTGTCAAGGGCTGAGTAGATAATGTCAAGGAGACTAATGATTGCATCATTGGTACTCTTTTGGGACCGGAAGCCAAACTGGCAGGGGCTGAGTATGTCGAATTTTATGAGGTAGGAATAGAGCTGTTTGTAAATAAAAATCTCTCGTACCTTTCAGTAGCGTCATGGGATAGGAAGTACCCGTTGAAGGCGACCACATCTGACTGGGAGTGGTACGTCATGGTCCAGTTGACGAGGGAGCTGGCCAGCCTGGAGTGCTTGGTGGGTGCTGGCAGCTTCTCAGGCGGGGCCTCCACGTCGACCAGTACCCACCGCTGCCCAGCTGGTACTCTCCGGGAGGGTAGACTCTTCCACGGGTACCTGTCAACCACAACCACCAGTGACTTTGGTTTTTGTTATTAACACAGGTACATCTGCATTTATGCAGATACCCTAGACTATATGAAGGGGAGTACAGTGTGTCAAAAAGCTAGCTACGTGATGCTAAAAATCCCCATCTTGCAGGATGGTTAGTCATACGGGGCCAAATGTTCAGTAGCCTGCACTGGCAAATTTTGGGTGCATTATGAGGATATCGTCAAGAACACGAGAGTGAATAAAGTATTGTAATTGCAAGCTCTAGGTACCTCATGCCAGCGGGTCTGAATGGTCTGATAACTGGGCATTCGGTGATGTAGTGTGCAAGCTCATGCCCCAGTTCCTGCTTGCCAGACAGTTCTCATGGGCGGTAGTCCAACACTACCATATATGACTCACTAGGTAGTAGTTCTCACGGGTGGTAGTCCAGCACTACCACACGTGACTCACCAAACATAACAATAACAAACAGCTGCTTAAATAATATAATGACCACTCAGACACTATGGGTACAGATGAGTCTAGATAGCAACTTATTCATCCCCAGACCAGACATGACAGGGCTCATCTCATCGAAACCTTCAAAATACTGAACAAGTTGGAGGATATTAATCAAGACCACTTCTGTAAACGATCTTTAAAAGCTGTTACCCCCTTGTAACACATACAAATGGTAACAGCTTGAAGCTCAACAAGCCATATGTAAATAAACAACCACTCCACTACTATAGTAATCACCAGGACAATAAAACAACCACTATACAAATTACTCAAACTCTCTAACAATCAATCAGACGTACTAACAGGCAATGTAATAACCCAGACATTAAAACAACCACTTAGACATACCCGGAATTGTAACAACCGCACACTGATGGCCGTACTCAAGCAAGGACACTCATACTAAGAGTACTCACGCAAGGACACTCATAATGAAGGTACTCACGCTAGGACACTCATACTGACGGTACTCACGCTAGCGCGCGGAAGAGGACGGCGTCAGCGCCATGGAGCATCAAGCGGTCGTAGGTGAAGCGGCAGCGCCAGGAGGGGCAGCCCTCGGCACGCAGGCCCTCGGGGCTAGTCGTGCCGAACCTGTAGGATGGTTATCAAATATCTGGAAAACGTGCCGATGTAACAGAACATACTACTCAAGAAGGATGAAAAAAAGTAAAGCAGGCAATGCAAGGAGGCTAAAGAAAGGACAATAACAAAAACTTTGGAAAATTTACTGACAACTGGGAACAGAGGATAGAGGCACTATATAGAACAAGGAATGAATACACCCGAATTAGGAGAAAAGCTGAGACTAAGGTTGCAAGATGAAAGGCCAAAAGAAATTGGCATTATAGTCACGGAAGAGGGGCATATCAGATGGATAAGGAATTCTTGGAAAAAACATCATGGAAAAGTAAGCTCTTGGGGAAATCCGCACAAGATATGATGGATGACGTTACGAGTAACCTCAAAGAAGTTGAAACAAATACTCGTAGCACCACTGATGGATAAGTGAACCGAGAGTTATGTTCATTGGTGTCTTCGCAGTGGTGCGGGAAGACACCATTGTCTTCACGCACTGCCCATGGTTTGACAGACAATGTTTGGAGGCAAAGAGAAGCAAAACAGCATGTAAGAAATACAGAGAACAAGAACAAATAGAAATCACTACGAATGCAAAAGGATGAGGAATGATCACACGGTGAATGACCAGCCGATCAGGCTTGACCAAACAGAGAATGCTAATGAAATACACGTAGAACTTAATGAAAGCTCCTAGGAAGTTTCTAAGCTGGAACCTGATCTTTGTCTCGAGCTAAGATATCTACCAGGATGGACATCTTCCAACCTGTTCGACCAGTCCCCCCAACAACCCACCTGTTCGACCAGTTCCCATAACAACCCACCTGTTCGACCAGTTCCCCCAACAATCCACCTGTTCGACCAGTTCCCATAACAACCCACCTGTTCGACCAGTCCCCCCAACAATCCACCTGTTCGACCAGTTCCCATAACAACCCACCTGTTCGACCAGTCCCCCCAACAACCCACCTGTTCGACCAGTCCCCCCAACAATCCACCTGTTCGACCAGTCCCCCCAACAATCCACCTGTTCGACCAGTCCCCCCAACAACCCACCTGTTCGACCAGTCCCCCCAACAATCCACCTGTTCGACCAGTCCCCCCAACAACCCACCTGTTCGACCAGTCCCCCCAACAATCCACCTGTTCGACCAGTCCCCCCAACAACCCACCTGTTCGACCAGTCCCCCCAAAGGTTCGCCTAGCTCTGGGCGGAGGTGGACGTGTCGCCTGTGGGCTCCTGGTTTGCTGCCCCGTGGTAGTTTATGTGTGTGAGCGGACCCTTGGGGCCGTGGCGGCTGGGGGGATGGCGGCCCCCCTCCCCCCTGTGAAGCGGAGGGATACCATTGGCTTAGAATTTACTGGCCCAGCTTCTTACCCGGCGGTTGAGGCGGTGATGATTGACATGTTGCGGGTGGATGTGGCGTCTGTGTGCGGCGTTCAACTTGTATCCGAGCATCGAGCTGTTGTGAAATTCTGCTCTACGGCTGTGTATCGTGACTTTGTGGACTGCTATGACGGGAGGACATTTACTCTGCCTGAAGGTGGTGGTTCGGTGATAGTGTCGGACAGGTGCAGTGAGACTACCTATGTGGCGGTTCATGGTGCTCCCTTTGAGTTCCCTGACTCTCTTCTCCAGCGTCATTTTAACCGGTATGGGCGGGTCTTGAGTGTCCGAATGAATGCAGTCTCCTCCGGGCGGTGGAAGGGTATCCCGAATGGGACCCGCACTGTGGCGCTGCGCTTGAAGGACTCCATCCCTTCGTCTCTCCAGCTTCTGGGCTTCATGGTACGCGTGTTCTATGGGGGTCAGCCCCGGACGTGTTTCCGGTGCGGTCTCTCGGGACATCAGGCTGCGGGATGTGATGCGAGCCGGGTCGGGCCTGTGAACCTTTTCAGGGAGGAGGACTTTCCCCCGTTGGCGGTCCCGGACCTGTCGGACGGTGCTGCTGTGGACAGTGTTGCTACCCAGTCCTCTGTTGCCCAGTTACCGGTCTCTGATGCCAGCCGCGATGTGGCTGTGGGTGTCGGAGTGGGAGGAAGTGCATCCCCGGCTCCCGCACCTCAGCCTCCCCTGCCTGCCTCGTCTCCAGTCGAGTCTCCAGTTGTGTCTCCTGTGGTGTGTGGTCTCGTGGCTCCGGACGTCGAGGCCGAGCCTCGGCCTGTACTGTCTCCGGCAGCTGTGTCTTCGACTCGTGTCGACGTGCACACTGTGATGTCTCCTGCGGTGTGTGGTCCTGTTCCCCGGGTTGTTGAGGCTGCGATGTCGAGTGATCGTGCGCTGCGGGGAGTTGCGCGAGCAACCAGCGGTTCTGCTACGGTGCTTCCTAGCGGGGATGAAAATTCCGACGATCTGCGACCTGTGTCCAAGCGTTCGCGACGAGCTTTGCGTCTGTCTCCGCCTCGTAATGCGGCCTGGGCCGACGTCGGGGAATTTGAGGACTCCGGGAGTTCGTCTTCTGGGGAGTGTGATGTGTGCGTCGCTGTTGGAGTGCCTGCGGCTCCTGTGGGCCGTGTTGCAGCAGTGATGGGTCCTGTGGTGGGATTGTCGCCTGGCCCTGGTCCGGTGTCTTCTCCGGCTGCCTCCGCGTCACCGGATGCTGGTTCCCTGGGTTGGGAGGTTGTGGCACCGGCCGAGACTGCGAGAGAGGGTAGGGGCTTGGTGCCGGTTCTTACCAATGCTTCTGTTCCGGCGGCCTCCGTGCCTCTGGCGTCCATGTCTGTGCCTTCCACGCCTTTGCCCTCTGCTCAGTCATCCTTTGTTACTCCGTCCCCTGTGGTGTCGGCCCCTGCACCATCGCCTTCTGTGATTGCGTCCCCTGCGACTCCGCCCGCTCAGTTGCCGGCCTGTGTCCAGCCGACTCCTGTGCTTCAGTCCCGTGTGGTTCCACCGTCTGTATCAAAGCCCTCTGTGCGGCCTCTTCCCGTGCCTACCGCCCCCGTGGTGGAGGGAGCCGAGCTGGAGGTTCCTGACTTCATGCGTCGACCACGAGGGTCCCGTAGTCACGTTAACGCGCCTCTGCAAATGTGGGCACAGTGGGATGCCTATCGAAAGAAGTACCCGCGTCGTTCTTATCCGGATAAATATGAAGATTGACTGTGTGTGGTTCTTGCTTTGTGTTGCTTCTTTCTTTCGTTGGTTTGTTGAGCTATGTGTTACGGGTTCCTTTTTTTTCTTCCCCTGTTTTCTTACCTAGTTCTTGCTGGGTTATAATGCTCTAGTGTGTTTTCTTTTTTTTTGACTCTTTCATTGTTACCTATGTGTAAGATTCCATTTTTGTTTATGCTTATTTACGATTTGTTCTCTTATCTGTGTCCTATTTCCTGTGTTATATGTTCCGATGTACCGATTCTTTATATTTTATTTAATAATTTACTATGTCATGCAAATGTTCTGTTTCCTTTGCTCTATATATTGTGCTGTGTATTGCTTTGATGTATTCTCTTGTTAATTTCCTGCATTTTCTTTACTATGTTGTATTTACAGTTATTGTGTTCTCGATTCTGTGGTGTTAATTTTGTATGTGTATTCCTTGTTTATATTTTACCTCTGGTTATATTGTGCTCCTTGTGTGCTCTTGTAATTACTGACGCTTTTGGCACGCCCCGTCTGGGTGGTGCTGCTTTTGTTTTGTGTGTATGTCTTCTTATGAGTTTTTATGTTATTCTTTGTTTTCACTTTTGTGTTATGGTGATCTGTGTTCCTTGTTATCTGTGTTGTTGTTGTTCTGTGTTTTTTGTTACTCTGCTTTCCTGTTTATATGGTTACTGTACGCTGTAATTGCTCTGTTTTAAAAATAAAGAGAAAAAAAAAAAAGTCCCCCCAACAACCCACCTGTTCGACCAGTTCCCCCAACAATCCACCTGTTCGACCAGTTCCCATAACAACCCACCTGTTCGACCAGTCCCCCCAACAATCCACCTGTTCGACCAGTCCCCCCAACAATCCACCTGTTCGACCAGTCCCCCCAATAACCCACCTGTTCGACCAGTCCCCTCCGAACCAATGGTCCCAAAAGAGTATAGTCTTCCAGGTAGAGTTCTCAGAGTCGCCTTCCAGGGACTGGTAGCTGCCCGTGGGTAGAATCTTGTAAGACTGTGACCTCGGGTTACTCTGGTCAGGAGCCGGTGGCGTGTACCTGTGGCCCTGCAGGACGGGCTCTCTGGCAGCAACATTGTCCTGGTGGTAGACATAGTAGATAGGGAGGGAGAGGAGAGCTAAGGTGAGGATGATGCTGTAGGCACGCTGCTCTCTAGTAAGGGTCATGGCGTGTGGACGGGTGTGGTTGTGTCAATGTACTGTTTTTGTTTTATTTTGTCACTTGCTATCGCCTTTGACGTAATGCGATTTATTTCGGTTTTCTTCTTTCCTTAAACGCAAATAAGTATTGTATATCTATCTTCCGGAATCTATTTGACCAAACACATTTCCTTCACCTACGTCCACAAATGCTAATACATCTCTTTCTTAATTGTCTTCACGCAATTTTGTCCTCTTCCACCCAACATTATCTCTGGAGGCACCTATTAAGTTCCATGACAGTGAAGACTTGGAGACTTGAAGAGGTCTTGAGACCTTCCTGGTAAGCCGCGCCAAATGTACTAACACTTGGCAAGGGAAAACGAACCTATTAAATCCTTTAGAAATGGTACCAGGACCTTGATTTGAAAACTTGCAATCGCTTGCTGAAAAATTTTCAACTTGAAAACCCGAGAAGCCTAATATTCATATTTAACGCTTTGAATTCTTTTTCAGTGTCATAGTTCTTGAGAATGAATCAGATTCCGCATAAAGAACTGTATATTTTCCAAATAGTTTACCTTAAAAACCTACAGCAAAAAGAATTCAATACCAAACTATTTGAAAAATCGTAATATTTACGTCTCGGTCACTGGCACCTTTCCTATGCGTCACTTCCAAGTCGCCACAACTTTCCTTGGCGTCACCCTTACACTATCACCTTAAATTTTCGGGGGAAAACCCTTGACATAACCTTCATCTTTCTGTTTCACGGGTGTTCACTTATATATCGGAGGAAAGACAGCTGTACTGGTGTGTGTGAGACGCCAGTGATGACGGCGCCAGACTTGCACTTGACCGTACCGTGGTCCGAGCCACACTGACGCTTGTAAGCCCCAAGCACAGATAATAAATGCACTTTGATTCAGTGCTTGGTGACGTGGATCATTTTAAAACTCAACTAGTGTACCAACAATTGCCGAGAGCGATTTGACCATTCACAGATAATATAGTTGGTACAGCGGCAGGGTTCAGTTCCTATAATACACTAGGATTTTACGTCAGTTTATGGGGCTAGTTTCAGTCACAAGCACCAATTCTGAAGCCTCGTATCAACACCTGATAGATTATTTTTTAATATTAGAGCTGGTTTAAGCAGTGATTGGTAATAGACATGGATGGGGCATAAAATGTTAGTGGTTTACAAGTTTTTAGTTTAGTTCATTTATTATGCACCCCATACCCATCCCGTGGGTGGTAGTGGGAAGAGTTACAGAGGCACATAATGGGCTCAGGGACTGAACCCCACAATTCATTTAGCTAAGCAAGTTACAATCTTGATGAGCTAGTTACAAAATTCAATATAAGTCGTCACATCAACAATGGGTTCGAGATCGACCTCAAGTACAGGTTCTAAATTAATTTAAGCAACTGACATATGTGGAGAGCTAGTGTCACAATTTATATGTTTGTCCTGCACACCGCCCCCATCCAGTGGGCAGCGGTGGATAGGTTACAATCACTCAGTTACTACCTACAGTTAGCAAACTGGGGATATTTGGCTAAAATTTCTGGTAGCAGATCATTTTGAATGAAATATTTACACATCGCTGGAACATTGGTTATGGAATTGTCTCTAAATTCACGTATCTTTTCGCACTCCATCACATAGTGACGGAGGGTGTGCGAATAATTTTGTTGACACAGTTTACATTTGGTCAGGTCTACATCAGCAGATAATGAGAATTCCCAGAGATACTTGTAACCAAGTCTAAGCCGAGCAGTAGTAACATCTAGAAGTCTGCTGATTTTATTGGATGATCCATAGATGTGTGGCTCCTCTTGCATGATAGTATGATAGATGGAATTACTGGTGTCAATTTCACTTTGCCTCAGATCTACAAGATCTTGTTGAAGTTCTCGGTGTACTGCTGCTCTCAGATTGCTCATTGACAATCCAAGGTTACACTCAACGGCTCCTTTAAAGGCAGAGGAGTCTTTCTTCCGCACTCACATTACCTGCTGAGCAGCCTCGTCCCAACCTCTTCCGGTACCTGCTGAGTAACTCCGTCACCACCACGCCCAGTACCTGCTGAGTAATAACATGTCCTCTTACAAATTAAGTCTGAATTTGGCCATATGGCCGTATGGCCCAAAATGGACGTAAGTAGAAAATAAAAAAAAATGAGAATAAATTCTGGATTTTTATTGTAAAACAGTAAGTTAAGTGTCCTCTGGTAGGTTAGGAGGGCAAGAAATTCTCCTAAAGTGGCAAAACATCACGAAAAACGTTAATTGAAAGTTTCCACCCCTAACCTTACCGAGTAACCCAGAGGACTCAAGCAGGAAACGGAACAGTACATCACTTTCGTGAGCCGATTTCATTTCAAATTACGTCCATTTTTGGCCATTGTGTGCATACGAGCGAAAAGCGACGTTATTTTTAAGAGGACAGGTTGGGTACCTCTCCCTGTACCAGTTGAACAGCCTCATCCCCACCTCTTCCAGTACCTGCTGAGCAGCCTCGTCCCCAGCTCTCACAGTGCCTGCTGATCATTCTCTCAGCAAATGTTATCTCTCGGTAACATTTGAGGAGCCTCGTTCCCCCTCCCTCCCCCCTGCAGAACCAGCTGAAGACCCTCGTTTCCACCTCATCCAATACCATCTAAGGAGTCTCGTCCCCACTCTCCCATCACTATAAAGAGGTTTGCAGCCTTACCGTTATCTACTGGAGACATCTCCCGTCACGCAGGGTGCAGCCGCACCTTCACAGATCTCCAGTATCAGCTCTTGATACTGGTAATGGCTCGAAAGGGCCACCACTTACGGGCTATTTATGCCCGTGCCACCTTTTGGGTGGCCCAATCTTCATCAATCAATCAATCTACCGTTAACTTACGGGCTCACCATAGCCCGTGCTACATGGACACTTCGTTCTGAGTAGCTAAATCTGAAACAACAATAATTACCGTTATCAGGAAGTAAGGTCACATTCCCATTGTTCACACTATCACTTCACACATTCACACTGCTATCCGTTGAGGGTGTGGATACAATGCGGCCCAAACGTCTAAAGGTTAGAGATACCCCTCTTGACGGTCATACTTTCGAGAGGAGCAACATTCTTGAAAGACGTTACCGGCATCACACCTACTGACATTAGTCAGATAGGTGATGATGTGATCTTCTTTTCATGTGAAGAAGAGCTAGAAAAACTATTGACCAACGATGCCATACTTCGCAAGGAGTACCACCTACATCCTCACCACCCACGTCAGTTCCTGGCCAGAAGAACTGTTTTTACCAGCAGGACCAGCTAGTGGATCGCAGACCGACTGCAACATAATATCATGGACAATATCGAGGACGAAAATCTGATACAGCTGGGTGTATTTAACCTAGAGTTCTGCAGCTCCGACAAATCATCAATAAAGATTACTTTCACCACCATAGCTGAGGCCACCCAGGATCCCACACAAGGTTACTACTGCTTCGGCTTACAAATACCACCCCATCAAGTAAAAAAGGAACGATACCATGAGATCCAGCAGTGCTTTAAGTGCTACGAGCTCTCCCACCCGACCAACAATTGTCAGCACCCTGTCCAGAAGTGTAGCCTGTGCGCACTGAACCATCACTACTCCATATGCAAGACAACAGCCCATCACTGTTTGCTCTGTGATGGCAATGACCCCGTAATTTCCTACAGGTGCCCCCGCAGACAGGAAAATATCAAGGCTCAGGTTGAAGCTAAGAGAAAAACCCTTCTACCTCCGCAACCAGAGCCCCAGCCGCTCAACCCACAACCTCAGCTCCCACCAACCGACTAGAAGACTTTCCAGCCTTACCAAAGAGTGGCTCATCCAACCAGGCGACACAGCCTTCACAATGGGGCCCCAAGGCCCCAAAGACTTCTTCGCAGCCCCCTGCATCACGTTCAGGCATTATTCCTGGTCTTATTAGACTAGCGGAAAGGCTTGCCGGACCAGACAACCACCGTTTTTTCAGTGAACTGAACATATTATACCTAGTCAATGGCCTGGACCCCATCATAATCCCTGGCGAATATCTCACGGCCTCCACTACCACCAGGACGACCACGAGGTCGATTTCAACCACAGACTTCTGAACCACCCAAGACCTGGGCGGCACAGAGGTAATTCCCTCTCCAGCTCCCAACATTTCTACCATCACCATCTCAGCAGCCGTGCTGGCAGACGTGCTGTCTACAAATGCTAACAGCCCCACCAACGCTCTTAAAATAGCTTCTACCACCAATCCACGACACCTGAGCTTCCCTAAGGCTGTGACGCGTAAGGCGAAAACACCAACTACGGATGTTACGGACTCCTCAGACGAGGAAATCTTATTAGGAGCTCCACCGCCGCACCACAAATACGACACCTACTCGTTTCAAGACTTCCTCATGGAGGCCACTTCACCAAACTACAACGACAGCACGGCTCAGCCAGTCTCAGGCAAAGAAAAAATGAAAAACCTAGAGATGTACACTAACCCCACCAGCTTCATAACTGGTACAGCCAGCCCTCCAGGGCTGAAAACCACCATGAAGACCCCATCCATCGCCAGATCTCTAGTATCAGCTATTGATAAAGATAATGATTCTAGAGAGCCTCCACTTACGGGCTCGCCATAGCCCATGCTACTGGAACTTCTTGTTCTGAGTAGCTGAATATAAAACAACATTACCGTTATCCTTACGGGCTGTTCATGCCCTTGCCACTTCCTAGGTGGCTAAATCTTCATCAATCAATCTACCGGTATCCACAGTAATATCCAGTCAGCATTAAACTGCATCTGCTAATCTTGTGACCATTTTAAAACCCTATTTAGATTGTCTTGAAGTGATAGTGAGTCATTTTCCGTGATTATTTCCCTCCTGATTTTCGTATCGTCACTCCACTTACAACACCCACCCAACCCCCTGTTTATGAAGGAGAAATGGTTCAACCCGTCCTCGACTCAAGTCCATTACATCCAGCGGTCGACCCCACAGACGCATTCATAAATATTTACATGCTGTTCATTCAAAATGGGAATTTTAACTCAACAGTTTTAACTCAAATTCTTAACAAACTCTGCTTTCAGACGACTCACAGCTCCCCTGTTTAAATCCCTAACAATGCTAAACATAAATTCACTTCATGCATTCTCTTGTGTCAATTACGTTTATAAAACCCTTTTGTTAAGTGCTAACCCTGTTCTGAAACTTCCTGGACAGATGTAATAGAACACATGCCCACCACACCAGACATAATATCTCTTTGATATCTCCAGAGTCAAACTTTATCTGTGTAAACACTCTATGTAAATAAAGGGACCTAGCTGGTCTATGGAACTCACTCCCTAATGAATTGAATAGCTGTCGAACTTTTGCCTTATTAAAAAATAACACCAAAAAGTACTTAATTTCATCTTCATAGTTTCCTACCTAGTGCTACCCAATCCCCCAATATTTGTACCTAAGCCATATTACTTTACCGTTGTAATCTTAGATATCATCTGTTATCTTGGTTGTTATTTTGATTGCATATTCTACTGCATTATTCCTTGAAATGATCCTCAAATTGTGCTTCAGTGAACCAAAGTATAACCTTAGCTGAAATGTTATCCTAATGTACCTAGTAATCCTTGTTCATTATGATGTATTGTTATTATTGGGTATTATTCTGTAGCGAGTAGATTATCCCAATAATATACTCGCTCCAAATATAGTGTTAATATTCCTGTCAACCTTTGGAGATGAATGAGGTGAGGCGTTGCCTGGGCATATAAGCAGCGGTGTAGCGAACATTGGCTAGTCTACTTTCAAGTGTGGTCTAGAGCAGACACTTGCGAGATACTGTACCGACGCTCAGTGCGCTCAACTCACACCAAAGTATCACCGGTGTACTTCTGTATATTCGACCAAAAATATATATAGTATCTTAGTGTCTGTGTTTATTTGTCACCATACTTTACGTAACAATAGAACCGTTACAATTCTAATCTTTTTGTGTCAAAATTTCTTACAATGTACCTGTAAACATTTTTGTAAATTTTACTGTAAATTATCTACTTATAATTATCTGTTAGTTTAAGGACTTGCCCGAAACGCTGTGCGTACTAGTGGCTTTACAAGAATGAAAAATCAACTTCATTTCTATGTTCTCTCTTAACCCCCCAATGTACCTTCTTGTATATAAATAAATAAATAAATGAAGTTGAGTGATGTGATGGTCCTGCCCGAAACGCTGTGCGTACTAGTAGCTTTACAATAATGTAAACACCATGCTATGTACCCTCACAAACCCAATGTACCTTCTTGTGTATATATACAGGTATAAATAAATAAATACATAAATAAATAAATAAATAAATAAATGCACATAATCCGGGCGTCACAAGAACGACGCCACCGGTGTAAACAACACTGAGGGGCCACAAACATGATCGAACGCACAAAACACTAGACTGTGGCCAGTTTAATAATTCTAATAATAATAATAATTCATGGTGTCTGGGAACAGGCAGCCAGAGTGTATTCATACATGTTTTGGCTTTTATCGAGGAACCCCCTCCCCCAAGGTCGAATTCTTGACACCCAAGAATCAACCCCACAATAAGCTGAATAACTCCTGAGTAACTATTTACTGCTAGGTGAACAGGTGTATTAGGTGATGGGAAATGAGTCCAACCATTTTTGTCCTGCCCGGGATTCGAACCCGGAATTCTCGATTATGAGTCGAGAACGAACTCGATTGTAATACCTGGATCCATTTTTTTTGGTAAACTCTTATTACATTTGTATATAATATGTATTAAAGGTAACGCCTAAGATGTAATATTAATTAATAAAAAGCAAAGTCAGAAGCCCCACGCCTGTTACCGCATGTCTTTTGTGTTAAAGTATTTTGGGCGCCCTTGTACTTGTGCGCTAGCTGGCGTTCACAACTGATGTCGCCTTCAAGGACTAAATTTAATCAATCATAATGATGATAATCTTTCCCATTCAATTCACCTGAGACTGTATGGGTCTCGAACCATGGACCCCACGCGTGTGAGGCCGAAAATTTTATAATAATGTTTATTTATTTACGGAAATAAATTTCTGGTCCCACTGAGCAATGATGCGCCTCAGAAATAAAGCATTATAATAATTATTTTTTGTTGTATTAAAAGTATAAAATACAAATAAACAACCTGTCATTCAGACTTGTGAGGTGGGACAGAAATGGCTGGATTCATTTCCCCATCACCTAATGCATCTGTTCACCTAGAAGTAAATAGGTACTCAGGAGTTAGTCAGCTTGATGTGGGGTTGAATCCTGGGCGGGGTCAGTAATTCGACCTTTGGAGGGGGGGGATCCTCCATAAAAACTAAAACATGTATGAATACACTCTGGCTGCCTGTCCCCCGACACCATGAATTATTATTATTAGAATTATTAATCTAAACTGGCCACAGTTTAGTGTTTCGTGCGTTCGATCATGTTTGTGGACCTCAGTGTTGTTTACACCGGCGGCGTCGTTCTTGTGACGCCCGGATTATGTCCATCACATCAACTTCATTTAATAACTATATGCCTATTAAGTAGAAGATTTTAACTGTTAAGAGCATTATATTGTGGGTTTTAATATTGGCCAATCACATATAAATACAAAACGTATAAATTTTGTGTTGGAAATTGTAAAAATATGTGAGCGATCCGTCGTCTGTACCAAGTGGCCGTCGTGACACATGAGGTGACACTGACGGTGCCATGACATTGGTGGTGCCGTGACACTGAGGGTGCCGCGAGAGCCTGCACCATGTATGGGTCAGTACGGACCGTAGGTGTAGTGTGTTGGAGAATGGCAGCGTCGGGAGGAGTGTGGTGGGGCGTGGTGGCAGGCCCCGCCAGGGCCGCCTCTCTCCTCACACGCTCCTACACCTCCACCACAAGGCTAAGTGCCAATGCTCTGAGCCGTGTGGTAAAGACTAGTAATGTGTACGGATGTGAAGGTGTGCGACAGTTAGGCCTATGGGCTGTGCTAGGCCAGCAGGCCCAGGGAGGCCCTAGAGCCAAGACGCCAAGCTACAGCAGGAGGTCGACCCTATACTACGTGGCCGCCGTCTGGGTGCTCGCCTTCGGCCTCAGTTATGCTGCCGTGCCGCTCTACAGAATATTTTGTCAAGTATGCTGACTTTTGTTCCAATTAAGGGGATTTTATTCAGTATGTGCGTGTTTACGTTCACATGATGGGAACGGCGTGTGATGAGCGGAAAGATTTGTTTTATTTAATAGAGGATTTTTGTTGTGAAAAAGACGCTTTTTTATATATATACTTTAGGCTCGTGTCAAGGTCTCCCTTGAGGTCGATCTACTGACCTTCCCCAGGATGCAGTCTCACAGAACGTGCCTAATTCCCATGTGCCATGTTGTTTGCCCGAAATGTGGGCGTTGTTTGCCCAAAACGCTATGCGTACTAGTGGCTTTAGGTATTGTATGTACTACCTCTATCTTTAAATGAAACAGAATGTTTGTACTGTAATTCTGCAACTATGTATGTACTTTTCCTAAATAAATTATTCTTATTATTATTATTATTATTATTATTATTATTATGTACCAATTTACTACTAGGTGAGTAGAAGCATTAGGTGAAAAGAAATGTGCCCAATCATTTCTGTCCCAAACCGAATTCAAAGCCAGGAACCCCGTTTGTAATTCAATGTAAGAATGCTGTATTGAATGTTACGTTAATTTCAGTTATAGATTAATGTTGAGTCTGATTTTATACATATAGCTTATTGGGAGTCATTTAGCCCCCCATGGAAGCTACCTTGTCATGGAGGTCAGGCTTGGCACAATACAAGAACAAAAATGCATAAGGCGAACGATATCAAAAGTATCCGATTCACCTGGGATTCTATTGAGGGACAAGTGAGAGCAGAATCAAAACTGTTGGTTACTTTGCCTCCTCCAAGTGTTTGGTGTACACAGAGATCTGTATTTTTTTCAGTTTCCCTTCATCAGGAGGTTGAGCCTACCAAGTAGCTTCTCAACCGTTGGAAAAATGGATGGTTAGCTATTCCGAATAACTTATTACATAAATGTGACATTACCCTACAACCTAAGAAATATAACAGTGGCAAAAATGTCTCTGGTAAGTTATTTATTGGCAATCTGTGATAAATTCATGGACACATAATGCAACAAAAGCCTGCATCTTAGTGTTAGAACTGCATTAAGTTATTCATAACAATTTAGAATGTCATGATGATTTCAGGATGATTGAAAATTATGATAATTACTTGAGAATCATTTACTTTAACCAATTAAGCAATTTTTAGTTCCTTGTTTCATTGTAGTACCATGGTTAGTAGCACTTCGGTGACAGCAATGGTGGTCGTTATATTTAGGGGAAGAGGAAATTGCCAGTAGGCTATGTATTGTATCACCAACTCCAGCTTTTTGTTTACTTTCTTCATGATAAACATAGAGAATTAATATGAAAAGGCAATTTAGGTTAATTAATTTAATTCCATTTCCTCATACAGTGATATCTACCGGCGTTATTCACTAGTGAATGTATCATTTGGGTAACTATTCTTGGGAGGGTTGGCATTGGCAAACAATGGTATCTATTGTTTGGGTACAGCAGTTGAATGTTAGAAATGGTATGACTGTTGTGATAGGATAAGATAAGGATGCTTATGTGTTGCCGGCACAATTAGATAGGACATAGTGCTGAATGTGGCCAGAAGCAAAATGCTTGTGTGAAGCCTGGAGAGGAGGGGCTGGGACTAATGGGAAGCTTGCTTGTTACTTTCAGTTGTCTTAAATGGTTCATGGAAACCTTGGGGATTTGTTACAGACGTTGTTTTATGGTTAGTGAATGTGATTGCAGGTCTCATTAATGATTTTGGGGATTATTGTGAACCTTTAAGTACTATAATTTACTTACAATAAAGATTCTGGAAAAATGTGGAGCAGTTATTACCAATATGACTGCTGCAAACTTTTCTATTTGGCGTAATGATTGGTATTCTCTCAGGCTTACAGCTATGGAGGAACCACCAAAGAAGGAAGTGATGCAGAGAAGATTGAATCAATGCAACAAATTAGTGATCGTGTCATCAGAGTTCGTTTTAATGCTGATACAGCTGCTTCCATGACCTGGAACTTCAAGCCACAGCAAACGGAAATTAAGGTAATGTTCATTTATTTGAATGAGAATTTATGATCATCTGATTGTACAGTATTTGCAGGGACAGATGTTCAGAAATATGTAAATACAGTAACTAGAATGAGGTGATGTGTAAAACCAAATCGCCTATGGTTCTTGGTCTATACTGTCCCTTTTTATGGGAGCCTTGGTCTCCTTTTTCATGAATAAATAATTTGTGGCTTTTATTTTGGCACCTTCCTTCCTTCCATTTCATTTTTGTTCACGTCACTTTTTCTGGAAGGCATCTTGTTGGACAGTGAAGCTCAAAGATGCACTAATCATGTGGTCGTGAAACCTTTTCTCATTAGTTCCTCCTTCACACAATCAAGGGATTGTGCACCTTCTCCATGACTTCCCTAGCCTTGACACCTCGTCACTTTGCCTGGGGCTCACATCTATGACGTTCACTGTTATGTTCCTCTTTCAGTTCCTGCCCCTTTTGATTCCCAGTTTTTCAGATAAGTGTTGGCCATCCTAGACTGTTATTGTCCAGTAATTGCTTCGGTATTTATTCTGAACAGTATTTTATTGTTTCATGATGTATGTTTATTGATTTTTTACTCTTCTGCGAGGATGGGGGCAGTTTGAGTTTTCTTATAAAGGTCGCATCTATAGGCTGTTCATGTGCTCTTAACAGTCACATTTTTCCCTAGCCTGTTTTCAGTATTTGTATATTCAGCAAGTGGCACTTGTGCCTAGTGTTCCTGCTAGGTCTACACTTCATAACCTCATGGTCCTTTTGCAGTTTTCAGAGGACTGAATTTGGACCAACCCTCCTATTCTACCCTCATAGGATGGGAGTTTAAAGGACGTGCCTCGGTTTTGATGTACAGTACTGTATTGTAATGACCATTCCTACTGCCTCCATCATTCCATCTGATGAGTGGGAGATATGTTCCACCCTGAGGTCTGCGACATTTGTGGTCATTGGGTCTTCATTTTAGCTAAGCCTTCTCTTAAGGACTTATCAGGCAGCTAATGATTTGTGGGCCATGTTTGTATGTATAAGTAGGTTGCAACTTTATGTCGACGTGCTTGCCCCCGAGTCTACCCCTTTGTCTTTGCAGGATCCAATCTTGGAGCAGTTGACGTTTTCTCCTTGCTCCATATTTGCTTCTCCATCTCCTTCCCCAGGTCCCATTAGTGTTGTTCAATGGGCCTGGGGGCCCAGTTCTGAAACAACATCTGAGTTTTGGAGTCTGTGGATGATAATACTTCAGGAGTGTTTGAGCCTCCTCTGGGGATCACCCATTCCACTTTAGTGGCAGAGATAGGCGAGTTGCTACTTCCCGAAGAAAATCTGCTGCCTTCTGTTTATCTGGGTTTTTAAAGCCACTGATCCTTTTCTGTGTTTTACATCTGGCATGGCTGGCGAGAGACCCCGAGGTGTGTAACTAGGGTTTCTTTTCGCCCTGATTGGTCATCGAGTTATCCTAAGGAGGGGTATTTGATTAAAGCAGAGGGTTTGTTGTATCCCCATATGTACTTCCTGGTTCCCAGTCTCTGGAGGCACACATACAAATCAAAATAGCATGATATATCAAATGAACAAATCCACAAGGGCCGTGATGTCCCTTGTCGTGGCACAGTTGACAGGCGCAGCTGGGAACATCCCGTGCGTAGGTTCTGACTCCTCATCACAGCCCCTGTGGACTTGTTCTCTGGAGGCATTTTATATGTGGAGGTTTCCAAATCTCCATCTTTCACCCTTTGTGGCACACTTTGATATATTTTAGTTTCTCTTTCATGATCACGATCTCACAACTTTAATAAACCAGTCTTCTTTTTAATTTGGGTCAGCCATATCATATTGGTTGTGGTATGAGGTTCCTGATTTCTCCTGGCCTGTGGGCATGTTTTTTTTTTTTTTTTTTTTTTTTTTATATCATATATACATTTGAAACCGTGCATGGAGTCTGCCTCCACCATGTCACTGCCTAGTGTATTCCATTTGTTAACTACTGTACTGACACTGAAAAGATCTTTCTAGTATCTCTGTGGCTCATTTGGTACTCATTTACCACCTGTCCTGCCCTTTTTGTGTGTATGTACCACCTGTGTTAAATAATGTCTTTATCTACCTTATTAGTTCCTCTGAAAATCTTGTATGTGGTGATCATGTCTCTCCTAACTCTTCTGTCTTCCAGCAACATGAGATTTATTTCCCATAGTTTTCCTCATAGCTCATATCCCTCTGCTTGGGTATAGTCTGGTGGCAGTTCCCGTAGTCTTTGAACCTTCTCATATTTAATCTTGTGTTTGACTAGATACAGACTCCATACCGGCACTGTATACTCCAGGGTTGTGCTGCTTCAGACTTGCCAGTTTACACTGTCCTTGCTCTGGAATGTGGGTATGTGGCAGCTGCATTCTCAGTTCCCTTTGCTTTCAGTTTTGCATGTTTGGGCTGTCTTAGAGCCTAGATTCTGTTTGGGCTGTCATGGAGCCCAGTGCAATTTTGGCATTACATGTTTAAGGTTGTCAGAGTGAAAGGTGCTATCATAACTCGCATTTTTTAGCTTTCTTGCTAATTTCTCAACCATTACAGGGGTTACAGTGTGCAGGTGTTTAACATTAGGGGGCAGGGTGAATACAGGTCTCTCATGCTGCTGTAATTAGGTCAGTTTCAATCTCATCTGTCCTATATATCGCATTGTTGTACATAGAATATTTCTTTGAAAACATCACAGCCTGGATATACAGCAGAGCGCACCACACCACCTTGTTTTCCCTGAAAGAACTTGAAGAACAGACAATGAAAACCATAAAGGGGTAGAGCAGAACCAGGTGACAAGGGATGTATTCTAACACCAAGGAGAACACACGTGGCCACAGGTACAGGAACCCAAAGAATCGTTGACCAGATGTAACAGGGACAAGTTTTTTTTTTTTTTTTTTTTTTTTTTTTTTTTTTTTTTTTTTTTTTAAGATATATACAAGAGTTGTTACATTCTTGTACAGCCACTAGTACGCGTAGCGTTTCGGGCAAGTCCTTAATCCTATGGTCCCTGGAATACGATCCCCTGCCGCGAAGAATCGTTTTTTCATCCAAGTACACATTTTACTGTTGCGTTAAACAGAGGCTACAGTTAAGGAATTGCGCCCAGTAAATCCTCCCCGGCCAGGATACGAACCCATGACATAGCGCTCGCGGAACGCCAGGCGAGTGTCTTACCACTACACCACGGAGACTGCACTGGGTTGGAGAAGTAGTCGGGTTGCCTTCCCCAGAAGAAAGAGGGAATGTAATGCAGAAATTAACTTTTATCAAATACCGGTATATCTTGCTGCAATTATATTTTCTTGTAAATCTCATCATTTGTCTAGACACTGATTAGCATGGTGCCTATGACAATCAGTGTCTGTGTTGTGTAAAAGCATGTTGTGTAAAAAGCTATTAGGTGTCTGTGTGTAAATGCTTGGCATATGTACATAAGCCAAGCATTTACACAACTATGGGTTCACCATGAATCACACACACATACCTATACAATCTGTACATATACACACAATAATCTTAGCCTGCATTCCTGTATATAAATAAAATTATAACCCTCCTAGAATTTTAAGCATTGAAATGAAACTCCCTTTTCTGAGGTCCATTCGGTAGCTCTCAATTCCTGCTTTGTTTCCGTCTTCCGTGGGAGTTGCGGGGTCTGTTCAGGTGGCTCATGAATTAGGTAACTGGGTGGGACCCCAAGCCATTTGGGCTACTATTTGGTTGCAGTTGAGTGCATTGCAGCTTGGGGGTTTATCCTGCAGCAAGTAACGATTGACCCGGTTTTCCCAGTTACTAATTTCCTTTCAAGCATTTGCTCGTTTTGATGTCCTAATACTTTCTAGATGTTTATTTTCTCAGTTTAGGGATGATCTCTGAGCTACCCATGCCTCATAGAGGAAGGCAGATTCTGGTCCTGGATTCTAGTAGACTCTGTTGGGTCTCAAAAGCCCAGAGCAATTCACTAGAGTTTGGCAGCTCCAGTACTACAGCTCTGATAGCTACTGAATGGCCCACAAAAGGAGTGTTTCATTTTATTCAACAACTAATTGGTGAATATTTCAATTTTTTTTTTTTTAACAGGTGCATCCAGGTGAAACAGCTTTAGCATTCTACACTGCACGGAATCCAACAAATCGTCCTGTTATTGGCGTATCGACTTATAATGTAATTCCTTTTGATGCTGGACAGTACTTTAACAAAATCCAGTGTTTTTGCTTTGAAGAGCAACTCTTAAACCCTCATGAGGAAGTGAGTATTGGAGTATATATATATATATATTTCTGTAAAGAGCCCCTTCAGCTCCCCGGAGCTTGCCAGGCTTATATGTATGTATTAGACCGTGGCATCGGTCAATTCAATGGAGTTCTAGCCTACCGGGGACCAGAACCACGGTTCTGGTCCCAGAAGCCAGAACCTGGCCCCCTTAGAGAAGCACAAGGAGCAATGGCCTATAGAAACCCCCATTTGGTTGGAAACATTCTATATCTGCCATCTACCGGGTTAGGCACCCAGAAAAGTAAGCATCCCAAAACAAACTACAGCTGATTAAAAATTGTGACCGAAAGTCAAACTAGCAAGCAGAACTTCTGTTACGACCCTGGGTTCTCCAGTGGAAACCAGAGGTCAAAATTGAGCTATTAAACTTCCTAAGTAGTACAGTTGGCGCATTTCGAATGGAAATTGTTTGTATCTTCCCTGCCAGACGTAAGCCCTTAATAGTACTTTAGTACTTAATAGTACTAAATAAGCCCTATACCCCTTAATAGTACCAGTACCCCATAGAAGTCCCACTCATATCAGCTGTAACAACTTCCCAAACCAAAAACAGGCAAACAAGCACGCCGTCACCATTGTTGCCGCTCCACTGTCTGCGCAGATTCCCCTCCCCAAGAGGAGGGAGGAGGAGCCCCAGACACCCTGTGCAGGCTATCCAACCTCAGTTCTGAGGCTGATGTGTTTAATGGCAGTCGTTCAGCTCTGGTTCCAATCTTTGAGCAGAGCTGTTCCTTGCGTTGTTGTACTGCTGTGTGGTGGTGTGCGAGCCAGGTGTACTTTGTGAAGTACTGGGGGCTGCATGCACCTATTGACACCTTCCCTAGGTGTCCTGTAAGTACTGCCCTTGCAGTTTGGGGTTACCTTCCACAAACTGTTCGGGAACCACTTCCGGAGGGTTCTTTTGCTGCTCGGTGATTGCCCATCCTTGGGGTCGGCTGGGGATTTTCTTGACAGTGTTTGACCTTGGGTAGGAGGTAGTATTGTCGCTGGCAGGGGCACAACATACTGTACAGCTGTCTTATATTATGCATAGCAGCCAGTTCTGTTCCTCATGGAGACGTGCTTTTGCAGGTTTTTCTTTTTCGTTTGTTTGCCTGGTGTGGCTACAGGACCACTTGTTATTTTGGTGGCCCTCCGCTAGGCCCCCGTGGTTCTACATGTCACAGGGGTTCAGCTTTTGTTTGTTTGGTAGTTCTAAGATAACTGGTTAGCAGTACCTTAGGGGAGGGGTTTTCTTACCCCCATTCCCTGTACGAATTTGATATGGGTTCCAGAGGCTTGCGGCTTCCCGCATCCCACCTAAGAAGGTTCAGTCGACTGTTGTGTCGTACCTCCTGCAAAACCCGGATTTTGCCTCAATAATGGATCCTTCGCTTGAGTTTGGTTCCACTTTTCCTTACTAGGTGCGTTACAAGGTGCCAGAGTCTTCCTGGTTGGCAGACTGCCCTTTCTTTTCGTTGGAAGCGTGGTATGCGTTCTGCCGGACCCGCATGTTTGAATGGTGGGAAACTACATCGGTGGTTCAGGTTTACTTGGGGGACAAGTTTGAGTGCCTTAATGCGTGCTTGTTCACTCCTGTTTTTCCTTGAGATGTTGGCCAGGTATAGCTTCTATACCTGGCCTTATACCTATATCTATATCTATACCTTCTATATTTTAAAGGGCTCCTGCCCTTTTGGCATCCTTAGTGGTTGAGGACTTGCGCACCTGTGGGTATTTGACCTTGCATTTCTTTTTCCCTGCTTGAGCTGTCTTCGGATTGGGTATAGGAGGATGTGGAGGTACTGGGTTCCTGGCCTGAGTCTGATGCGCTTGCCTCGGTGGCTCAGACATCCACTGCCTTGTTGAAGTTGTTTGCACCAATTCTAAAGGAAGCGGTGTCTCTGTTTTTTGCTTCTCACCTCCCATTTTGACAGGCGGTGCTTGCTCACTCTTTGGAATCTGCTTGGGCCCTAGCTCTATGGTTTTTGTCCCCTTTTAGTCCATTGCTGTTTTAAGAGTCTGTGGTTGTACAGTATCTGCATGCGGATTCGTTTAGTTGCCATCCCATGTTGGATTTGTTGGTTTTCCAGAAGGGTTGTGCCAGGGTTCGGGGGTTCTATTAGTCATGATGTGGTGCCAGATTCAGGACTGGCCACTCCTTCGGCCCCGGCGGTATCTGGTCAGCACAGTGCTCACTCTGCACGTCGTTCAGCATCTCGTTAGGGTCCTAGTCTCTTTTTGCGGTTCCCCACATTAACAGGGGTGGGGGGTTTCAGCCACGCATGGGCATGGCCTAAACGACAACATCCCTCAAGTGGGTTTCCCGTCTGTTTCCACTGCCACAACGGGACCGTGCAGATCTGAGGTTCATTCTGGACTTGTCTCGGTATCCAGCCGCGTCCAACAGCCTGGTTGACCAGTCCAGCAACAAGGAGGCCTGGTCAACGACCGGGCCGCAGGGTCGCTGAGCCTCGAAATCACCTCAAAGTAAGGTCCCGTCTGAACCCCTGGGTCTTTTGCCCATCCTTTCGCATGACCACTCTGTCCCAGGTCTGGCTTTTTTTGGAGCTGGATGCATGGATGGTTTCTCTGGACCTCCAGGACACGTATTGGCACATCTCGATTTATCTGGGGTTCAGGGCCTGGATCAATTTTGTCATGGAGCGGCACACTTACTGCTTTCATTGCCTTCCATTCGGCTTGAATCTGGCTCCTTGTATTTTTACACGCCTTACCTGGGTCGTGATAGCCCGTTTGCGCCTGCTAGGGTTTGGGTTCTGGCGTACTTCGACGATTGGGTGGTTTGGGCTTCCAGTCAGTCCGCGTGTCTGCTCGCCAGGTATTTGGTTCTTTCCCAGCTCACCGGGTTCAGGTTCTTGGTGGACTGGAGGAAGTCCCATTTTGTTCCCTCTCATGTTCGAACTTGGCTGGATTTTGTGTAGGACTCTGGGACCGCATCCTTGTCTCTCCCTCCAACGGTGTTGCTGCAGCTGCAGTCCCACCTTTGGCTGTTTTTGGAGGGCACCCGGGTCACTCGTCGGTTGTTTGAGCAGTCTGAACTTTGCCTTGCTGGTCTACCTGTTGGGTCGGATCTGGCTTAAGTGGCTGTTCTGGTTTCTTCGAGGACATCCCTTCTGCCACTCTCGTGATCGCTGGGGTTCGGACCCCGGAGGACTTGCGTCGGCTGCTGCGTTGCCGACTTTCTCTTCAGGATTTTCGGGGTTTAATTCCGAGGCCTCAACCCGAGCCCTCGCTCGATGTGTTCACGGGTACATCGTCTCTCAGCTGGGGCTTTGTGACCAGTGCTCACCAGGTTGGCCAGGGTCGGTGTGGTCCGTCCTTCCGCCAGGCTCATAGCACTGTGCGAGAGTTCGCAAGAGTGCGGTTTTCGCTTCAGAGGGTTTACGTCACTCACGGATCGATAATCCGGCTCCATTTGGACTGCTCCCCAGTGGTTCATTGTCTGAACCGCGGGGGTTCGATGCGGTTCTTGGCTCTTTGGGGCTAGTCGCTTCAGGTGACTCATCTGCTGGATTCTTAGGGTTTGGCTCTCTGGGCGGTTCATATCCAGGGAGTGTCCAATGTCCTGGGAGATTGCCTGCCCCAGTTTATTGCCCTGTCCACGGAATGGATGGTCGACGCGGACTCCTTCAGTTGGCTCTGCCTGACGGTGGACCTCTTCACGTCGGCGTGGTCAAGGCATCTTCTGGTATATGTGGGGCCCTTCCCCAACTGCGAGGCCGTCGGGGTCGATCGGTCAAGGTGGTGTTATCTGTACTTCTTCCCCAAAGTCCAGCTGTTGCTTCGGGTTCTGGCTCGGTTGGAGATTTACCAGGGGAGAGTAGTCCTGTTAGCCCCTTCGTTTCAGGTACTGCTTGTTCAATGTCCGAATCCAGAGATCTTTCCGCAGCTCCGCCTCTTTCAGCAGATCGGTCCGGTCCGGTATGTGGCGTGATCGATCTTCTCCTCCTATCTTCGCGTCTGGTCTTTCTGACGCAGGTTTATCACCACTTGTTTGGTGATCGGGTGGCTTCGCTAATGGCATCCCATCTGCATGTTTCATCTCGACGGCAGTACTGTATAAAGTTTCCTGGCGGTCCTTTCATCGATTTTCGTCTCTTCATAAGTTGTCTTCGATTTTTGATCGGGTTGTCTTGTCCTTTCTCTCTTGGTAGTTTCATGACCGTCAGCTTATGTCAAACGCTGTCACCTCATATCGTGCGGCACTGGCTTAGCAGCTTCAGCTTGCGTTCTGGGTGAATATTACTTCCGCTCTGTAAGCTCTCTCGTGCTTTGTTTCACCTCCATCCTGCTCATGTGCCGCCTGAGCCATCCTGGTCTTTGGACCAGGGTGCTCTCCTTTCTCTCTCCTCCTCAGTTTGTTGTGACCCCTTCAGCACAAGATGTTTTTCCAAGGCTCTTTTTCCTGTTGGTATTGGTTTCTGGGGGTCAGGTCAGGGAGCTTCATGCTCTCCTCTAGTGCAGAGGTTTCTGTTCTTTCGGTTTTGGCGGTAGGTTATTCGTTTGCAGCTGTCCCCTTCTTTTCTAGTGAAGAATGAGTCAGCGGCTTTCCTGAGGGATCCTTTGGTCGTTGATGCTTGGTTGGTCAGGCCGTGGGTGCATTATGGGTTGTCTGGTTGCAGCCCGTCCTCCAAAAATGAGGTGGTAAATGTAAGAAGACAAATAAGTGCAATTATGTACTATTCATAGCAGTTAGGAATTGTACTTATTTTCACTTAGTATTAAATCGTACTGTCAAATATATTGTGAATATTTGAGTTTCCCTGAAAAACTGAATAGAAAACCACAACCTCACCTAACCGTCTTAGTTTTTGAAGATAATAATTTTATTGCTTCTTAATTACAATTAGTACTTAACCTATAGCTATATTGATATTACAGTTTTATAAAACTAATAAAACAAAACTAAAATATATCAATAAATTGTAAAGAAACTCAGGATATTTTAAAATTTTGTATAAAATCTACATTGTTTAATAAACCTGAAAAAAAATTCCTAATATTTAAAACTTGTATATGACAAGTTGATTTAGAAAACTTCATCCTAAAATTCTGAGTGTCTTAACAGAAAACGGGGAGAATTAAATCGGGGGAGGGAGTTGGGTAAATGTAACAGCCCCATAAGTTTAATTATGCACTGTTTATGACAGTAGGAAAGTGTACTTATTACACTTAGTATTAAATCGTACTGTCAATTTGGAGGATGGGTTGCTGGTTGCAGCTCTTCGCCGTTACCTGCACGCCATGGCCTCTGTGCCGGGGATGCACTTTGGGTTGATCCAGTTTCCCTTCTTCCCTGTTCCAGGCCTTGGGTCTTCCATGTCATCCGCAGTGTTATTCAGTCCAGCCAGCCTGCAGTCTATCCTCGTGCTCATAACATTCGTAAATTTGCTGCTTTGGCTGCAGTCTTTGATAACATGTTTTGGGCTGACATTCGGGCATGGGGATTTTGAAGGTTGAACAGGGCCCTGGCCATGCGTCATTTAATAAACATTCCTGGCCCTAGTCAGGCGTGTGTTGCAGGTTGCAGCCAGTTGTCTCGACTTCGAGTTGAGATGCAAGTGATGGCCGCTTCCCAGGTAAGTACCTCTTGTCACTTTTCTTTGTTTAGGTAACTCCGGGGAGCCGTTGAATGTAATGAAATGCCATTTTCTGGGTGAGCCCCGAAAGGCTTCCCAGCACCCTCCCTCTGGTCGCCGGTTTTTTGTGCTCGTTTTGATGCTCTGCCTCAGAACTGAATGCTGTAGCAGCCGGTGCAGGAGGTCTGGGTGGGGGGGGGTGCACGGCCGATTGGCGCAATGGCATAAGTGACGTTTACTCTTTTCAGTTTGGGAGTTCTGCCTCCCTGTTTGGTTTTAGGTAGTAATTTTTACCATGTGGGGTTTGTTTTATTACACCTACCTTTCTGGGTGCCAAACCCTGGTCATTGGCAGACATGGAATGCTTCCAAACACATGGGGAAAGTTTCCATTGTCCATTACTCCTTGTGCCTCTCTGAGATTATGCCTATTGGGGATGGCACTAATACAAGTGACCTTACTCAGAAAGGACTGCACTAACAATAAATAAATGCTGCAAGAGCAGCTTATTACGTTAAAGGCTGCAATAGGTGGTGTAGAGCTGCCACCAGAGTCCAAATCCTTGGCACTCTGTAATCCACTGGGTTGTGGAGCTCCTATAACAGATGATGGCAGTTGTAAGGGTAGCTCTAGGGATTCTCACCAAATTTATATTGGTGTGTAGAGCTATGAAATTGGTTAGTCCAGAAGTATCCAGAACAGCATATAATCAATTTCAAGTTTATGGCAGAGTCTAATACTGGGGACAAGGTGAAGGTGTTGATTTAAAGGCACTCGTCATTTGATAAGAATTAACATTTATTCAAAAACTTAATAATAACAATACAAGGCAACATTAGTTTAACATTACGTTAATGTCCGTAGTGGCACTACAAAACTAAGCACTCGTCTAGTATAGTCGAACTAACGGTTCTGACCACTCACGGCGAGTTGAACTAATCTGAACAGCAGGTGCTCACTCGGACACAAGATAGCAGTTCACCAACTGCGGAAAAACAATTTAAATAACAACAACAACGACACAACAGACAGACCTATCGCAGAGACAGTCTTCAGTGCACCAAGTTATTTACGTTAAAGCTCGTCTCTTGGGGCGGCAGTCAAAGCAATCAGATATGTTACAGTACTATAACAAACACAAGACAAGACTAATCAATTCAATCAAATTAACAAGTTTAACTCGATTACATTAATTAGCAACTCTACGTTAATTACTGTCCCGTGGATGGCCAATCAAAAGCTGGGTAATTTATGTTAAAACGAGATCTGTCAGCACAGACAGTCGGGCAATCAAACACTGCTTAATGGAGTTAATTATTCAAAACACCAGGTAATTAGCAATCAGTGAGTAACCGCACTAATTACTGTCAAACGGACAGTTAAGGTAATTCATCGAGATTCAATTAACACTTAGCTGATCACTTAGATCGCTGGACAACCAATAATCAGTCAACACATTGCTAATTTCCTTACACTTCACTAATGATGTTAGTGACTAATTACAATTCACTGACTCTTCAATTATTAATTCACAATTAATACAACACCGGGTCATGCAGACCAACAAAACACAGTAGCAAAACACAGCACTAACTCCAGTGCTAAATGACACAACACAACATTGACACTATAATAAAAAACAGAATCACACAAACACCTGCAATCACAGGTTAATAACTGAGGTTTATCAACCCACTTACTTTTACAATCTGATTTTCTCCTGGAACGATAAAGAAAAAGAACATACATGAAATGTTATGCACAGTTATGGTATATATTTAAACCGCACAAAACAATGCACACAATTATTATAAAATAGTAATAATATCTAAATGTGCAGAAAGTATAAATATACACACACTCAGGTCACTTTACAGTAATCACAGAGTTACTGTAATTGCCTTTACCTATATGCTTCCTCGATCTGCGTATCTCCTGTTGCGAGCTAATGAATACGACAGACCGTGTGAGAGAATGGTCTCTCAGGATTCTCCCACAGCTGACTTGAATGACTAGGAGGACCCTAGGAGTCCCTTAAAGTGTTAAATCATTGAGGAGATTCCAACGATCAACGTGGACCAGGACCAGGTGAGGCTAGTCCGAGAAGAGACCCTCAAGGACTCTAACTCGACCTTGCTCCCAGGCCCTGTACGGTTGCTCTCGTATTTTCTCTGCTAATTCCGACAGCTTCGTGAAGCATCTGCCACATGTATATTGGCGACGTACGCATTGCAGTCGGGAAAGCAAAATAGAAAACCCCCACAGACCGTATGGCTAACTTGAATTCAGCACAAGGAATTATGCTCTTATGAAATGATAAAATAATTAAGGCGTACTCACTTTGATAAACCGGCTTACATTCATACAATCTCTCACACTCGGTAGACTTCTGCCGTTGATTGACGATCAAGCACCCACAGACCACAAGTGGTAGATCCCTTTCACAGGATACGTATGAGGTGGATGGCAACAGGACGCTGGGGTTGATTGGCGCGTGATTGCCTCAAAGGTGTCAGGTGAATCACAAAGGCGAGATTCCCTTGCCCTTAGGTGATGGGGGAGGAAAGTGTGAGTAGCCTCACGGCTTGGGTATAGCGAGAGCAAGCATACACCCACCACTGGTGGAGTGGTGGTGTAATGAGATGGGAACCACGTGTTAAGTACATGGGGTAGACAGCACGGTGTATGGAAAATAAACTAAGTCACAACAGTTTGTACTTTTTCATTAAACCAGTCTCCGTGGTGCAGTGGTAAGACATTAGCCTGGTGTTCCGCGAGCGCTTTGTAATGGGTTCGTATCCTGGCCGGGGAGGATTTACTGGGCACAAATCCTTAACTGTAGCCTCTGTTTAACTCAGCTGTAAAATGGGTACTTGGTTGTAAAAAAGATTCTTCGCGGCAGGGATCGAATTCCAGGGAATTGCCTGAAACGCTACGCGTACTAGTGGCTGTACAAGAATGTAACAACTCTTGTATACTTATCTCTAAAAAAAAAAAATCGGATTTAACTTAAAACACTGAGAATTGTATCGTAGAATCCTACCAACATTTTACTGAGCAATATGTTGACTGATCGCTAATGGATAACACGATGTTCGTGGATTTGATAACTACAGTCCAGTTGCTCCGTAGGTGAACACACGTGTGGAGTTACTCTTCACTGCACGGTATCTCTTATTTTCATCTATATACTGACTATATATATACTCTTCCCACCCCCATTGTTCTTCAAGGTGGCCAATCAGTGGTCGGCCTTGTGGAGGCCCACAGTGCTGTTACCAATAAGATCTTGACCCTCACTCATGTGAAACTCATGACGTCACAGCCTACAGGCGGATTGTTTACACAAGTGGGAAAAAAAAGTTAAGGATTCCTTGCCCACTAACTCTGGCTTCCTTGGCTCTGTCTCCAAGGGACTAAAGCCTAAGACTGGACTAATGCTGTAATTCCTTTTACAGCAAAGCTACAGTGGCCACCCTGACTTTACTGAACAGCTGAGGTTCTCTGCTTTCCCTAGAGATCAAACAATAAATGTCTAGCTCCCATACTAAGAAAACTAGAAGGCATGCACACACTTGTGCACCCCTGCAAGCAAAAGGGCAGTGTGTCTTCTTTTATCAACCATGTGTAAGCTAGCGAGAATTACCATTCCGTCACACTCTGAAGGGGGCCAGGTTCTGGCTCGTCGTCCTCAGTAGGCAAGAACTCCATCGACTGATGCCATGGTCTAATACATACATATCAGTCCAATAGTCTCCGGGGAGCCTCCGGGGCTCACCCAAAAAAAATGGCATTTCATTACATTCAATGCTGGTTTTTTGAAGATTGAATAACAACAAAAATTATTTTTTTTATATTTTCAGGTTCATATGCCTGTCTTCTTCTATATAGACCCTGAGTTTGCCGAAGACCCAAAGATGGAGAATGTGGACAGCTTGACATTGTCTTATACGTTCTTTGAGGCTCGTGAGGGGCTGCAGCTTCCAATGCCTAGATTTGCAAGTAAAGCGGTATAAATACTGTAGTGACAACATACCACTTCAAATTTCTGTTGATAATTCATAATATTGTTAAGGTTTGGACATTGCAATTTCATAATCAAATAAATTATTGTATGCTGTAAAGCTGTAAATATTGTTTGTAGTTTATTAAATAAATTGACAATAAAATAATTTTAACTTTTCTTATTAAATACTTTCTTTAATACTGTAAATACTGTACAGTAAAAACTTACTCATATGTCTGAGAATTGCCTCTTCTAAAACTTGAAATGGCTGTTTTAACATGACAACATGTGATGCTTATAAAAAAAATATTCCCAACAAATTTTTCTTTTTAATGTTGTTAAAATCCCTTCCCTGATTATGCAATGTGGAAAAAGTACAAAATTCCACTTAATTTGGCTGGAGTGAAGTGAAGAAATTGGGCAATATCATTATCAAATCTTGAGTACTCGTGCAGGAGACTTCAGAAGCCGGTCATACAGGTAATTGAAAAGCTGCAAGTTACTACAAATTTATGGTTATTATCATCAGCAAGCATAAGAAATATTGCCGGAACAACCGTGGACATTTTCAAGAGGAAACTAGATTTATTCCTCCAAGGAGTGCCGGACCAACCGGGCTGTGGTGGGTATGTGGGCCTGCGGGCCGCTCCAAGCAACAGCCTGGTGGACCAAACTCTCACAAGTCGAGCCTGGCCTCGGGCCGGGCTTGGGGAGTAGAAGAACTCCCAGAACCCCATCAACCAGGTATCAACCAGGTATCAGTAATACAATTGTTTTCTTTTATTTATTTTTTACTTATGCACCTGGATGTCATTTACGATTTGTACGCAGTAGAACATGTGTAATGCTGATACTAAGGTGATACTCATGTCACTAATATGTTCACTAAAAAATGTTTGTCGCAATATTACATTTTCAATTTTGACTTTATAATACTGTTTACACTCGTACACACTATGTACACTCATACATTCATTTTGTACATACCCTTTTCATGTATATACACCATACTACACAATCAGTACTTCGTGAGTGAGTGAGTATTCACCAAAACAGTCAATGGCGCATAAGGCAACTTTGCATTCTGTGCACCAGGTACATTATTGATTTTTGCTTGTCTTTGTGTGTGCTTGCAGACAACACACTGATGTATACCTTTTGCAAGTTTCCCTGTACCTTGTATGTAACCAAGTTTGTGTAGTGCAAAGTAGGATTTGTAATCCTGTCTGTCGTGAGCAACGTGAGGCATTGTTGATGTGAAAACCTGTCATCACACTTCCTTCCTTTCCAAACTTTACAAGCAACTGTAACAACAGAGCAAGACTTAAATTACAGTTTGGTAGTTTCTTGCTTGATTTCACCAAATACTTGTTGAAACAGTTCAGCATCGTTACATTCATAAGGTGAAGACACAATTTCCTGGCCCACTTTACAGTTTTCCACACACATTCCACAGTGCCTGTCATGTCTCATTTATCCACCAATCTCAGATTTATATTACAATCCATGACCAAATTTGGTTTTTATAATTAACCTTTTTTTGCAAAGAAAAAAATAGTTCTGTTTGCCACTCTACCATTTCACCAGTGTGAATTATTGTCAACATATTCACTTCACGTCTGTCATATTAGCGCACCAATAAAAATTTTTGCTTTTTCCCAACTGACCTACTGAAATACCTGTACCAAACACTGCCATTTCTCTGTGACTTTACTCTGCCACAGACACTAGTGTAATATTCATACAGGAACACATCAAGGGGGTTGGTATAATAATTGACAGTGTATAAAATGTGCCCCTTGCTCAACAGTAGTTCTAGGAGTATCTTTACCACACTGCCTGAAAACCCATGAGGATCATGACTGGGTATGTTTGTTTTGGTACTGGACGGAATCCACATGAAATTGACTGTTACCATCAGTAATAATTGTTATATTTGTCTTTAGCTTCAGTAATAACCATGCTACAATTGTCTTTAAAAGAGTTGAGTATAATCAAGGATAAAGAATCACTTGCAATTAATGCCAAGTTGGAGATGGTTATACTCTACTGCAATTCACGACTGCAGCCCAGATAAAAATGGTGATAGTACAGCAATCTATTATCAAGATAACTGTACTTGAACTAGGCATCTGCAGTACAAACAACTATTTCAATATTTTTACTTAATTCTCAATCAAAACTTTTAAATCTCCCTATAACTATTGGAGCTGTCTAATTATAGATTCCCAACATTAATATATATATATATGCATTCTCAAACATTGAGGACTAATGATTAGGAATAAACTCTAAAAAAAAATCATAGGTGGTGACTTCAACATTGAGTGTTTTCGACAAAATACTGTAGTCCCTAATTCGATAATTTTCTTAACTGCATAAACTCTTGTATGCTAATCTCCACAACTACCAGTCCCACTAGAATTACTCCATCTGCTTCAACCTAGGACTGTATATCGACTGACATAACAGCCCCATTCACCACTGGCATAATCACTGCTTTGCAATATATATATTGGGAATTTGAAATCAATAATACTCATGACAAATTCATCAAATTTTCTTATCAAAATCTTCAGCCTCTACAATACTCAGCCCTCTCTTCATATGAAACTAAACTATCATTGGCCTGGTTTCAAAAGTCTTGGCAAAACAATACTCGTCAACACTTAACAATAAGAGAGGATATTTACTTTCTCTCTCTAAACTCTCACCAACATTTACCAATAAGAGCTAAACTATCCTATTATGAAAACGGATTTAAAGAAGCAAAAGGAAACATGGAAAACCATTTCAAATATCCTAGGATCCAAACAACACTCACATAACTCTTAATATTATAATTAATAATAATGCTGTGCTGGTGAAAGAACACCTAAAGGTGAACGAAATAATGATTGCCAATCCACGAGAAATTGACGTAATAGCACTAGAGATCTGCCATGAGGATGATAAACTAATGATTATAAATGCATATAGTCCACCACCAAGCAACACATGGACAAAGGAGGAGCTAGATAGTAAACGAGAGGGTCTTATAACAATAATGAGAGAGATTATAGCAAGAGCGGATAAGATAGATCAAGACTGTTGATAGTCGGCGACTTCAACTTGAAATCCATACACTGGGAAGCATATGAAGCTAGAACAGAGAATTTTTGGACCTGTAGATTTTCTAGACCTCATCCTGGAAACATTCTTGTATCAACGTGTTAAACAAGCTACGAGGATGAGGGAAGGGATGTTCCTTTCATGCTAGATTTGATATTTACCAGGAAGGAGGAAGAGATATTAGACATTCAGTACCTTCCTTCCTTGGGTAAAAGTGACCATGTCTTTTGGGGAATAAAGTATGCAATGTGTTATAATCTGGAAGAAAATAAGGAGGTTGAAGCAGTTGAAAAACCTGACTTCAGGAGAGGACATTATGGCGACTTTAGGAAATTTTTTTAATGAGTATAATTGGACAGACTTGTTGCTAGGCAAGGAAGTAAATGAGATTATGTCAAGTTTTGTGAAATATATGATAAAGGCACAACAAAATTTATACCAAAACAGAGATGCAGAACTAGGAAACAGGATTGGTTCAACAGAAATTGGGAGAGTGCCAGAGACCAAAAGACACAAAAATGGAATCAATATAGGAAGAGGCCAAACCCTCAAACATACCAGCGATACAAAGATGCGTGAAACAACTACACAGCAGTGAGGAGAGCGGCAGAAAGAAATTTTTTAAAAGGGATTGCAGACAAATGTAAAACAGAACCAGGTCTATTCTATAAATTCATAAACAACAAATTGCAGGTAAAGGATAATATTCAGAGGTTGAAAATGGGAAATAGATTCACGAAAATGAAAATGAAATGTGTGAAACATTAAACGAAAAGTTCCAAAGTGTGTTTGTACAAAATGAAATCTTCAGGGAACCAGACACAATAAGAATTCCAGAAAACATAGAGCACATAGGTGTCTAGAGACAAAGTGGAAAAAATGTTCAAGGAGCTAAGTAAGAAAGCAGTTGGTCCAGATGGAGTTTCACCATGGGTTCTGAGAGATTGTGCACCTGAGCTAGCATTCCACTTCAACTGATTTTTCAGGCATCCCTGTGTACAGGAGTTGTAGCTGATGTGTGGAAAAAGGCTATCATAGTTCCAATCTACAAAAGATTGTGGCAGCAGGGAAGACCCTCTTCAATTATAGACCTGTATCATTGACAAGTGTAATAGTCAAAATATTGGAAAAAATAATTAAAACTAAATGGATAGAACACCTGGAGAAAAACGATATAATAACAGACAGACAGTATGGTTTTTGATCTGGAAGATCCTGTGTAACAAACTTACTCAGTTTCTATGATCGAGCTACAGAGATTTTACAGGAAAGAGATGGTTGGGTTGACTGCATCTATCTGGACAATACAAAAGGCTTTCGACAGAGTTCCACATAAGAGGTTGTTCTGGAAACTGGAACATATTGGAGGGGGTGACAGGTAAGCTTCTAACATGGATGAAAAATTTCCTAACTGACAGAAAAATGAGGGCTGTAATCAGAGGCAATGTATCGGACTGGAGGAATGTCATGAGTGGAGTACCACAGGGTTCAGTTCTTGCACCGGTAATGTTCATTGTCATAAATGCTGACAATAGTGTACATAAATGCTCTACCAGTTGCAATACAGAATTATATGAACATGTTTGCTGATAATGCTAAGATAATAGGGAAGATAAGAAACCTAGATGATTGTCATGCCCTTCAAGAAGACCTGGACAAAATAGGTATATGGAGCAACACTTGGCAAATGGAATTTAATGTGAATAAATGCCATGTTATGGAATGTGGAATTGGAGAACATAGACCCCACACAACCTATAAATTATGTGAGAAATCTTTAAGGAATTCTGACAAAGAAAGGAATCTAGGGGTGGTTCTAGATAGAAAACTGTCACCTTAAGACCACATTAAGAACATTGTGCGAGGAGCCTATGCTACCCTTTCTAACTTCAGAATTGCTTTTAAATACATGGATGGAAAAATACTAAAGACATTGTAAACGACTTTTGTTAGACCAAAGCTGGAATATGCAGTGGTTGTATGGTGCCCATATCTTAAGAAGCACAACAACAAACTGGAAAAGATGCAACGACATGCCACTAAGTGGCTCCCAGA